GAGGAAGAGACCAGGAAAACAACTTGAGGAAGGCTCCTCGCCCAGGGCAGGGGGGCCGTGTCCTGGGCCTCAGGACAGCTCCGGCCACCCTCCCGCCGCCCTTTCTGGGAAGCTGCCACAGGAGTGGGTAATTTTAGCCAAAAGTGAAAAAAAAAGCCACACTAATTATTTATAAAAAAAGGACGCCCCCCCCCAATGTAAATTATGCTTCCCTTTTGGGCTTCCCTCTACTCTGGTACTACCCTTCTGGTGGTCCCCCTGCTTAGTCAGGCTGAGGGGCCCTTGAGACAGTGGGCTGGGGGCAGAGGAGAATTTCAACATGAAATGTTTTGTTCATTAAAAGGGAACATAGGGGGAAATTCCCTTTCTGCTCGGCCTGGGAAGCCCAAGTGACACTCAAAAGTATTGTGAAAAATCAAGTCTGGGCTGCGGAATGGGGTGGGAGTTATGTAGGGGGAATATGAAAGATGTTCTCTCCCCTCTTCTTAGACCTCTGACTTTCAGGGGTTTCCTGAGCCTTAATCCTTCCTCCTATCAGGAATTTTGTTCTCAATTTACTCAGGTCGCTCTCAAACTTTCTTCTTAGCAAAACAGGAGGAACCGGGATTAGACTGAAGTTAGAACTTCCAATGGAGGAGGAAGAAAGGATATCAAAGAGAGGGAGGGGAGGCCTTGGGCCTGAATAATATAGAATCTGATAGAACATATTGGAATTGGTAGGCAGCAAATCTGAGGGCCGCCTGGAACAGGAATGAAAGACCCTCCCTATGAGAGTGGATTTGAGGGCCCTGGTGAGGAGGGAAGAGATGATAGCTCCAGGAATGGGGGGCAATTCCAGGTTGAATACTTAGCTTCCCTGGTATGGCTTCAGCTCTCCTCCTTTCTCTCCCTTTAGGGAATCTTTGCCCTTTTCTGGTGCCTGAGATTGGAAGGGTCAGGGCACACACACAGGCTGCAGTCCAGATGAAAGGATTCCAGGGTGTCTGCAGAATGGGGGTGTTGTGAGGAGGTCACAGGTGCTGTCCCAGGATGGTGCTAGGAGCTGTCTCACTTGGGAGGGTGAGTTATCCCTGGGGGGCCGGGCCAGACCCTGAGTGGGGGGGCTTTAGGCCCCCCCTCCCTGGCTCGGCCCGGGGCTGTGTCGGATCGGGTTTCTCGGCGCCTGGAGCCTCCGCGGGGCCGAGCTGTTCCCGGGCCCCAGCCAAGCCGCCCCGGGCGCTGGCACTGTGTGAGGAAGCAGGAGGGGTGAGGGAAGCGAGGGCGGGGGCTGTGAGGGCGTTTACGTAACTGCCTCCTGGAGCCCGCCCCGACCCGCCAAACCCCAGTGTGATTGAGAGCGTGTGTGACTCTGTGTGTGCCTGTGTGACACTCAGTGTGACTGAGTATATGGCTGTGTGTGTGACTGTGTCTGTGTGTGGGTATGGTGTACAACTGTGATTTGGGGACTCAGTCCCACGTTTTGGGACCTCTGGTTCCTAGCCCAAGCAGAGGACCCTGACTCCCAGTGTGCCATAGTGAAGTTGAATATACATGTTTTACTCTTCGACACTCTTTGAGCGTATGGGAGTTTATGTGACCGTGTGTTTGGCACTTGTAAGACTGAAAGCCTGTGCGCGGGAGTGTTTGTAACTTTGAGTCGCCAGGCGTGTGACCCATGGAGGAACTTGTTGACGGTATAGCAGGTTAGAAACCAGCACCATTTCCTGAAGGAGCACGGGAAAGTCTCTCCTAACTTGGGGACATGCCAGTAGAAATGGCGAAGGGTCCTTGCTGCTCAAAGGCTTGGAATGGCACAATTAATTCCTGGGGGTGGGGGATGGGGGTGGGAGGTGGTCCACGTTTAGGTCACCTGCCAGGGTGGAGGGTGGGGCCAGAAGTCCTGGCCACAGAGCCCCCTTTCATGGTGAGTGTAAAACTCCAGGGACTCAACTGGCTACTAAACTGGAACTAAGGGATGAGCACACATGTGCACAGAGAGAAGTAAAACTCAACGGAAATGAACTAGGGGGACAGGGGTGGGGGATGGGTGGAAACCTACCTAACGGATACAATGAATAATTTCTGGGTGACAGGCACTCTTATAATCATGACTCAAGCATTATAAAAGCAATTCATGTAACCAAAATTATTTGTACCCCGTAATACTTTGAAATTAAAAAAAAAAGGTCACCTGCCAGGGTGGAGGGTGGGGCCAGAAGTCCCTGGAATAAAATTCCAGGAACTCAAAGTCAAGGAGAACTCCCTCCAATTTCCCAGTGCCTCTCAGGGCACAATCTGGAATCCCCATCACTTGCAGGGCACAAGAGCTCCGGCCTGGTGGTGGTACTTCGAGCTAGTCCGGAATGGGAGAGGCAGCTGGTGAAGATGGAGGAGGCAGTGAATGCGCTGAAGTGGGGTCGGGGCGAGTTGGTCAGTGAAGTGGGGTTTGGCTTAAGGCTAAGCGCGCCATGACAGAGAAGGGGCTGGTGCAGAGCTGGGGAGGCCGGGGATGGGGGCGCCTAATAAAACTGGAGAGGAGACAGACAGGGCCAGTTCCCGCAGGGCTTTGAAGCCTGGCCTCAGCAGCCTAGCTTTGCCCCCAGGGCGGTGGGGAGACACGGGGCTTAGGCAGCTCAGAGGCCAGTGTGCAGACAGGGCATTGGAGGCGGCAGCAGCGGAAACCCAGGAGTAGTCTGTCGCCCCAGCCTCCCGGGTGGGAGGAAAATCGGCTCTGAGCCAGGAGGCGGCGGTATGGAGAGCGGGCAACACCCCGGTGGTTCGGTAGGTTGCGGAGGCCTCAGCGCGGAGTGGGAGCCGCAGCCTGAGGGGGAACGCACGTCCCGCACCGCCCGCCAGGTGTCGCTTCGGCCCCGGAGAAGCGCTCGAGGCCGCGGGATCCCGCGCCAAGGAGGAGCAGCTGACAGACGCCGGGACAGAGTCCGACGTGCGCCTCTCCTCTTCCCTCATCCTCCGTCACACGGACATGGCCGATTCCCCGATCCCCGACGCCCAGTGCAGAAGCTGCCCCGGCACCCACCGACTGCGGCACTGCCGACGGCAGCCTCCGCGTCCGCGGTGGCGAGAGGACCTCGGCCGGGGCGGAATTCCTGACTGCTCCCAACCTGCCTCCAGGAGGCTGAGGCCGGGATACCGGGGGCATCCGGAGGTCAAGTCAGTTCGCAAATGACCTGCGGATCCCGACGTCCGAGCGCCCCTCCCCAGCAGGGTGTGAGCTCAGGCCCGTCAGCCCCTCTAGGAGACCAGCAGCCCCTTGAGTACTGAGCCTCGCCCAGGCCTAGCTTCGTAGAAGGGGGGAGGAGCGATTGCTGCCCCCCGCCGATTCCGTCGCACCGCCCCCTTCCTTCCCCGCGTCCAGCATCTAACCTCCGTCTGCAGCCCGGGGACCTGGAGGCTGCGGGCCGGAGAGGCCGGATAGTGGGTTGGTGTGCGCTGGGCCTCCGCTGGGTGCAGCTATTTGGTTGTGTGTCCTTAAGCCCGAGCTGGCCCTCCCTGAGCTTCAGCCCCGGCTGACCCCTGCCAGTTGTACGGAGGGGATTTTGTGGCCAAGGAAGTGAAAGTGAAAAGCCCGGCTGTGGCGGGAAGAAGGCTTTTCCTCTGCAGTGGGAGTCCCTGAGGCATTTGTTGGGAAAGGGCCCGGGCGCTCTAAGCAGCCTACTGGGGAAGGATGTGAGGAGACAGCGAGATTTTTCTCTTCCCAATCTTTGCCCTCAGCCCTAGGGCAGTTCCACGCAGGGACAGGGCCCCAGGATTACAGGTCAAAAATCAGATGAAAAATCCAAGGGGTAGAGATGGGGGTGGACCTCTCGGTCTCCACCTCTGGCATTCCCTCTCCATTGCGCTGTCGCGTGGCCTCATAAATTGGTCAGGTTGTCTAACCTTAATCTCCCATGTTGCAGCCAGACCAGAGGCCCGGGGACGAGCGAAGCGAGTACGTGGCCCCTCAGAGGCCCAGGCTGCGAAAGGCAGGCTCGAGGGGGGAACCTCCAGCGCCAAGCTCGCTGAGGGGCATGCCCTGCGCGCGCTCTGGAACTACCAGCGCAGGCATTGAGCGTGCACCCTCCCTACCCTTCATCCCAGGGGAGCTTTCTCCTCAGGCTGTGTGTTCTCGGGGGCTTGGGGAAGGAGAGGGTGGTGGTGGTGGTGGTGTCATCAGAGGCGTGAGAGGCAAGGGCCTGGGCTCCCAGCCTGGTCCTTCCAGGGTCATGGAAGCATAAATCCCTTTTTACCCCCGTGCAAGGGGTTTTTCTATATGTGACTGGGAGAGGGGTCGTTGCTGGGGGCTGTAGGAATAGGAGAGGCGGACTGGCTGGCTTCTTCTGCCCAAAGTGGGGGTATGGGGTCTCTGGCTCGTGTCACATTCACGGCGATGCCCGAGGGAGGACCCGAGAGTTGGCCCGGGGTGTGCCAGGGTGTCGGTGCGAGGCAGTCGGGGTGAACGTGCGGAGTGTGCGCAGAGGAGGACTAAGAGAGAGTGTGAATGAGCGATCCCCGGGGGTGGGTGCGCGCCCTGCCGCCCTAGGGGAGCGGGCGGAGTGGGTGTGGGTGTGTGTGCGCGCGCGCTTGTGAGACTCGTGGCCGGGACTGCGCGTGAAGTACGGGGGCCACAAGGCTTCTGGAGGGCGTGCCCGAGAAAGGGCGAACGTGAGGGGGCCACGCGTGCCAGTGCGGGCGAGTGCGCCAGCGGGGGAAGGGCGCGTGCCAGCGCCCGGCGAGTAGGAGTGAGGGCCCACAGGCCTGCACCGGGCACGCGTGCCCTCGCCAGCGGGCCGCGCATGCCAGGCGCGGGAGCGTGCCAAGGCGGCGGCGCGCGGGGGCCGTGGCGGGGAGGGGTCGTGGCGCGCGGCCGCGGAGGCGCGGGGAGACAAGGCGAGAGGGGGAGGGGAGCGAGGGCGCGCGCGGCCGAGCGGGCGCCCGCGGTCACATGGGCGAGGGAAGGAGGGAGGGAGCGCGCGAGGGAGGGAGGAGGATGGGGGGGTTAAAGCCGCCGAGCGCCGAGGAGCCGGTGCAGAGCGGGCGGCGGCGGCGGCAGCGGAGGCGGCGGCTCCAGCCTGCGCGGCGCGGGGCTCGGCGGTGGGATCTGGCAGCGGTGCTAGCTCCGCGCTCCCTGCCTTGCTCCCTGCTGGGGGCGGTCGAAGGGCGCGGCGCGAAGTCCGGGTGGCCCGAGTGCACGGTGAGTGTCCCGCAGCGGACCGCGCGCGCGGCCGGACCCTCAAACCCTCAGGCAGACGGACAGACCGGCGGCCCCCGTGCGCGCGGGAAGAGCGAGGGGACACGCGTGGGCCCGTGGCCTGGGGGTACAGGAAAGTTCACGAGAAACTTTGCCTGCAAACTCGGGGGTTGGGGTGCAGGAGAAGCGGCCCCCCACGTCTCGGCGCTCCGGGGGTTGGGCGTGGTGGTGGTGGTGGGGCCGGACAGTCGAGTGGAGGGAGGTGGCCAGCGCGGTTTGTCCTAGTATCCCTGTTCTCCCCACCCCTCGGCTGCACGCGCGGGGTCTGGGAAAATTCCGGGGTTTGGGGGGGGTCGCAGTGGTCCCTGCTCACCCAAAGGTGGCTTCTTTCTCGCGCAGAAATCTGGACTTCAAAGCGCCCGGGGGTGTGAACAGAGGGTTGCGCGTCTGCCAGTGCGTGTGTCCGTGTGAATCCGCCTGTGTGTGTGTCTGTCTGTCTGCGTGAGCCTGCCCGTGGTTTTCTCTTGAGTCCGCCTGGAGATATACCTCCATGTAGTGGGTCTGTTTCAGTGTGTCTCTTTGTAAGTCCTCCTGGTTTGTGTGAGTCCGCCTGTGGTATATCCCCAAGTGTCTCTTTGTGAGTCTGCCCGTGTGTGTCTCCTCCAGTGCGGCTCTGTGTGAGCCGGCCTGGGTGTCCCTGTGTTGCTCAGAGTAGTGCGTGGGGGCTGGGCCGTGGGGAGGTCACCAGACGGACAGCTCTCCTTCTCCGCTCCTCCGGAGCCTCTCCTCCAGCATCTAGCTCGCTCTCTCTAGCTCGCTCCCTTGGTCCCCTCCCCCCTTCAGTAGCTTCAGGCGGGCAGGACTATTTCACGCCTAGTTGAAAATTCAGGATTTTCTTTCTCTTTCGTCTAGTCTCTCTTTGAGAAGCGGCTGTGTGTGTCTGTGTGGCTGGCAGCTTGTCTGCAACATTGGGTGTGTGTCTGCATGCCACTGTAGGAGTGTGTCTGTAACACTAGTTGTTTTGCCTGTAATACTTAGTATATTTGTGTCTGTGTCATTGGGCTGTAAGCAATGAACTGGTGAGAGTCTGAAACACTGGGTGTGTTTGTGTGTCTATAATTGCTGTATGTCCGGAGGATCTGAAACACCAGGTATACCTTGGTGTGTCTAACTCTGGGTGTGATGGTGTGTCATTGCATGTGTGGGGATGGGGCTTGAACAGTTGGGTGTTCCCAGGGATGTAGGTCTAGCCAGGACTTGTGGGGTGGAGGGGCCTCTGTGTCTCAAACTATGGCCCTCTGTCTCCACTGTCACAACCCACACAGAAGTCCTCTCAGCTGGTTCCTGGGACTCCTGGCTAGGATTGGTGAGATGGAGCTAAGGTTCACACTCTCTCAGGGCTGATACTCGAACTGAGACCCTCCTATGCAAAGACCAGGAGTTTTGATTTCACACTCAAGACTTCCTGGAGCTCTGGAATTCATGCTCATATTCACAGTTGGAACTTAAACTCATTCTAGAGTCTTAGGGTTTACACTCATACAGGCTCACACTCAGGATTACACAGTGGGAATTATACTCACATTCAGACTTACATTCTGGGGCTCATATCCAAATATATACTTCAGTCCTGGGGTTTATACTCAAACTCACATTGGAACTCTGGGCTTACATTTGGACTCACATTGGGACTATATGTTCATACTTAGGTTCACATTTCTATCCTCTGGTTCATAGATTTGCATTGAGACCTAGAGTTCATGCTCAGAATCTCTCTGGGGTCCTAGGGCTCTCACTTGGACTCCCACTTAGACTGTGGAGCTTACTCAGATTCACACTTACACTCTGTGATTCATACTCAGAGTCACACTAAGACTAGAGACTCACACACAGATTCAAATGGGGAGCCTGGAGCTCACTCAGATTCATACTTGGGCCTTTGGGTTCATACTTAGATTGATGTGGGAACTCTTGGCGTCAGACTTTCATGGGTAACCTAGAGCTCACACTTAGACTCATACCAGGATCTTGGTGACTTCCTCAGACTCACATGAGATTCTATGACTCACACTAGGACTCCGGTGCACACACTCAAGATTCTCCTTCCATCCTGGATCACTTAGAGACTCAGTGTTCACACTCAGCCTTACACTAGGATCCTGATGTTCACATTCACACTTACATGGGCACATTGGGGCTCACATTTAGACTTAAAAAGGGACCTCAGTGCTCACACTCAGACTCATCCCTATGAGCCACCTTCACTCATGCTCAGAATGCCCTTAAGACCAGGGGCTCACACTTAGAGTTGCACTAGAACTCTAATGCTTACACCAACTTGCATGAGAATCCTGGGACCCACAGTTCGACTCACTTCAGTCCGGGAGCTCACATTCAGACTCACTCGGGCTTACAGTCAGACTCACCCTGGGACCTGGCTTCATGCTCAAATCAGTACTTCCATCTTGGAGTTCACACTCAGACTGACATTAGACCCGGAAACCTACATTAACTCACACTTCCATCCTGGGGCTCACGTTCAGACTCACGGTAAGATTGTAGTGTTCAATCAAACGGTGGACTTCAGGACTCACGTATGCCTGCGTGCTTCCCTTTGGTTTGTGGTGTGGATTGGGACAATTGAGGTGAGGAACAGAGACTGCTACAAGACCTGTCCCCTTTAAAAGTGAGGAGGGGAGAAGGTACATATTTGGTCATGTCCCTGACTTGGGCTGTGGGCTGATGGAGGGGGTGGTGGGAAACGCTGACCCAGTCAGACCTCTCTGCCTTTGCTTCCATAAGACCAGGCTCTCAGCAGGACAGTCTGAAATGGCTTGTTGGTATAGGGGTGTCATGAGCCCTCAGAGTCCTCCATGTGTCATGTACATGCATGTCCCCCTTAAATAGTTTTGGATACCGCTTCAGGAAGGCCATGTGTGAGGAAATAAGACTCATGTCCTCCCAAGACCTCTCCCCACCCCCCATCCCAATCATCCTTAGGCCAGAAGAGGTGTGAAGACCTGGTGAGGGAGCAGATCTCTGGCTCTCGTGACTGTTCCAGCGTGTTGAATCTGTGATTCTAAGAGAGACAGGAGCCCCAAATCTGTGGTGACAATGTAGCTGGAGGAGGAGACTACAGCCCACCCTCTCCCATTTGCCCTGCAGCCCACCCTCTCCACCTTTCCCCTTTGCCCTGGCTGGAGAGGGATAGGGGCCATGTTATGTTATATCTCATGATGCCTCCTACAATGCCCTTTGAGCCCTCATCCTGGCTGAAGAGTCCTCAGTCCTGCAGGAGGATGCCCAGGGTTCCCTCTCTACTCCCCAGAGGAGCAGTGGCCCTGGGGGGCCTAGGTTGTAGCCAGCCCTGGAGGTCTACCTGACCTGGAGACACTACCCTGGACTTTACATGCCTTCCTGAGATAGAGACCTGTGGGTGGGGCTGCCTGAGGTACACTGTCCCCACCATGGGAGCCCACACAGTAGGGACATGGCTCTGCAGCCTCCACCCCCAGGCTAAAATGGCTGGGCTGTAACTATTCCCTGTCTCTGAAGGGGACACATGCTCTCCAGCCCCTTATGGGGGTGGGGGGCTTGGAGGCAAGGCGCCCTGCTCTCTGCCCCCCCATGGCGAGTTGAAGTGTAAATGAATCGGAAACATATGGAGTAGATTTTCTTTGAAATGCAGATGGGTTGGGGGGACCATGTGTGCCTGGTTTGGGGGGTCCTGGAGAGCAAGGAGGCTGAGAAGAGAGAGCTGACCCCTCCTTGAGCCCCACTGTGGGGTGAGGGGAGCAGGAGACCTCAGCTATGTAAACTCCTGTGGCCTGAGTGACCACACCCACAAGGGCTTCCAGCTTCCTGTGAGGAGGGGCTGGGGGGGCCAGTGGTCCCTGGGGACAGAGAGCACTGAGGTCATCAACCCCCTTTACCTCTGCAGAGGGCAAAGAGAGCCCCCAAACCACAGAGCTGTGCTGGGTTGGGGGTCACCAGCCCGGGATCTCTGGGTGCCGAGGGGTGGAAGGAGGAGCTCAAGCAGATGTGGGGGAAGAGTTAGATCCTGCTGCTGTGGACACCCAGCTCCCAGGAGCTGTGGCTGGAGCTACCGAGGAGGAACTGAGGTCAGACTATGTTGGTGTCCTGTGCTCAGCGCAAGGGCCCGTCTGAGTTTAGGAGTGGACTGAAGAGTCCTCAATCGTGTAGGAGGACAGGCTTCTCCAGACTCAGGGTAGTTGCTGTGCCCCATCACACTTTGCCCACACCACACTTAGCAAGGTTGCTTACTAGTTGCCTGTGAGCTCTGTGGGACCAGGGATTGGGTCTGCCTTGCTCACTGCTGCACCCCCTGCCCCAGCACAGACCTAGTACACAGTAGGAGGACAGTATGGAGTGAACAATACATCTTTTTCTCTCCCATCAGACTGGGTGCTCCTTGTATGCAGGACCATGTCCCTGGCTCCCACATAGTGCCTGGCAGGGTGTAGGTGCTCAGTAAATGTTGAGGGATGAATTGTTGAGTGGTACAGACCACTGGGAGAAGGAACCCCCTGGAGTTTGTGGCTTAAGACCCAACAGCCCCTGTAGTATACCCCTATTTGGCTCAAAGGAACCCTGAATGTTTGCAGGCTAGACTACAGGAAGGACTTCCTCTCACTCAGGGAAGGAGTTCAGAGGATAGGTGTCTTCTTCCTTGGAAAGGTCTAGATGAGGGGAGACTGGGACAGGGCGTAACCGTAATTCTGTGGCAGGGGGTAGGGGGCACTCTGTCCTCTCTGTTTTTCTCCGTATGATTGTGAGCATGACCGTTGCTGTCTCTAGGTCTGGGTTTCTTGGACTCTAGCCTTGGGAATAGACCCTATCTCTGAGCCTCCAAGGCTGGGCTCTGAGGCTGTGTAGCTGCTGTGGGCACCATAGACTATCTGTATTGGTTATTAATGTCTGTCTGAGAACGCAGGGTTTGGATCCTAAAAATACTCTGTCCAGCCATAGCCTAGAAGTCGCTGTGTGGGCTGGTGTCAGATAGAGATGGGGAGACAGAGAGAGAGACATGTCCTCACTCAGAGATAGGAAAGACTCAGAGAGTATGTGAGTGTGGGGAAACTGAGGCAGCATGGGTAGGAGATGCACAGGAGACAGAGCCTTTGTTTTATATGGAGCAAAGATTTATAAAATTACTGGTGCCTGTTAGTGAAATTATGGCAACATTTAGGGTAATCTGTTATCCTACACCGCAGATAATTTCCTTCTTAGAGAGTCTGGACATAGATACATCTGATATCAGACATAAAAATCAAGTAGTCAGTAGGAACCATTTCAACTCCAGCTTCAAGATATTCCAAAATAAGAGTGTGGCAAAGAAAACAGAATCTTCCCCAAGTATCCTTCCTGAGCCCCTGACCCCATCCCTACCTCCTGAGAGCCCTTCTTTGCAGCCAGGGTCCCAATGAGGTTCTTCAGACTCCCTTTTATAGCCCCCCGCCTGGCTTCTAACTCCCAGGCCTTTGTGTAGCCCCTCTCTCCAGGAGAAGGGAGCTGAGTAGTGGTCCCAAAAAGGCAAGAGGAGCCCACAGTCAGAGGGCAGATGCCGTGTGACCTTGGCCCATGAGCTGACCTTTCTGGGCCCCTCCGTGAAATCGCGGGATGGGGGGGCTGGGCCCTGGCCCAGGCCCGGAGAGAAGGCGGTTTTGGAACTGATCCAGGCCCCTGACGTCAATGACTCTCCAAATAATGGAATCAATATTGGGGGGGGGGACAAGCGTGAACCAGGCCCCAGCGATTAGAAACAGATCAGCACAAACTCGCAGCTGATTCTGATAGAGCTGCCTTGGAGAGCTCGGGTGGGAGGCCTGGAAGGAGGTGGACCTGGGTGGGGGGGTGCTTAGGAATGGAGAGGCGGAGCCACCCAGTGTCCAAAGCTTGAAGGTACACAGTGGGCAGAGACTCTGGCTGCCTGGGGTTGGAATGATGGGGTAGGGCCCCCTGCCCTGGTCTCTTCCTCCTTTGAGCCTGTGGGATTCCAAGGCTAGGTGAAGTTTGTGGGTGGAGACTTCTTTAAGCAGTGAGTGATAAACAGTGGGAAAGGGGAGCTCATCTCCCTGTGTTCCAGACATAGGCCCTCAGGCCTTATTAGGGGTCACAGGTTATACCCAGGTAGGGAGAGAGTTCTAAGTGAGACCTAAATGAGATGACCTTTTGCTTAGAGGCAAAGGGCATTAATCCAAGAGAGAGAAATGGATTTCCCACCTCAGATTGAGAGTCTGGCCTCCTCCATCGGCTCACATTCTCTCAGTCTCCTAGAAAGCAGCAGGTGAGGATGGAGGGGGCCATGGGGTCCATGGGGGGCTGGCCTGGCGGCAGCTGACAAAAAACAGGAAGGAGGACTGGGGGAGCGGCTGTAATTATGGGGCATTTATTATTAATCAGATGAAATTGCTGGAAGCAGCTGGTGTAATGTGCGTAGCAATACAGACTCTGCATGCTTCCCCCCCAACACGCACACACGTACACACACCACACACAGCCTGAGCCTTGCTTGCTTTCACAGTTGTTTTCTTGGGAAGGTTGGATGGATCTATGTGTGTCTCTGTGTCTGAGCATATTGGAGTATATGTGTATGTTTCTTCATGTCAGCCTGTACCCTCCTCTCCCTCTATTGTCTCCTTTTCTTACTCTCTCTCATTCTTTGGCCTAATGTGTATCTGTCTTCCCCTTTATCTCCCTCTCTTTGGGTCTGTATCTCGGTGTGTCTGTAGCTGTCACCATTAGTCAGCCTGTCTCTATTACCTTGTTTTAGTGTCTGGCAATCTCTCCCTGGTTGGTGATATCTCTGCATCTCTGGGCAGGATTGGATGACATGGAGTTCCTTTCTCATGATATGTTTTTAGGCACCTAATCACACCTTTGGTAGATACATCTGGAACCTGTGGATTTTTTGAGTGGGGCAGTTGGATCCTGAGGATTTTCTGGGGGTCTTGTAGAAGGGGAGGGGTCTGATGAGTGTCTGGAGTCCATAGAAGCAACAGTAGCTTTCAACATCAGCTCCCTTACCAATGACCAGTTGTGTGACTTTTGGCAAGCTGCTTTTGCTCTCTTAGCCTCAGTTTTCTTGTCTGCAAAATGGAAACAGGATTACCTCTGAAGGTTGTTTTGATGATTCAGTACAAGAGTGTAAGTTTAAGTACTTATCACAATGTTGGCTAATCAAGGACCCTGATCAAGTGCTAGCCACTATTATAATTGCTGGGAAAGGCACTGTGCAGGTGGGTGAGTGATCTGCAGAGGCAAATTGGTGTAGTAGAAAGGCTTTGGAGCTAGATATGGACTCAAACCTAGGCTCTGGAACTGTGGTCTTGGGGAAGACCTCCTTAAACCTGTTTCCTTAGCTGTCAGATGGGAAGAATGATAGACTGCACCTCATGAAGAAGTCATACTTAATAAATCATAATGGTGATAAGGAAGAAAATGTTATGGTGGTGGGTCTTCATGCCATGCCTGTGACCTGTGACTGTGAATTTGCGTGTGAGGATGTATGTGATATGGAGGTGCCTGTGTCTGTCCCACTGGTTGTGAGGGAATTTTGGATTGTCTGTGGGTCTGTGTCTGTGTGTGGTATCAGGCCACTGTTTTCTGGCCTTCCTTTGTCCCTGTGGTTCAGAACCTGAAGGCAGCAAGGGGCACTGGAAAGAGTCTGTGCTACTCCCAACTGTTCTTCCAGACATTTATCTGCTGCCTGCCTCTCTCCCCTTCTCACAGCAGGGTTGTGAGTAGAGAATGAGCTCTGAGTTGGACTAAGGCCTGTGACCTCTTATTTATACCCTTTGCCCTTCTAGAATCCAGCCTTGTCACATCATCTCACCTCCTTGGTTTTGGAAGTCCTGGGAAGAGTTTGGTTTGGAGCAGGAGGAGGACATTGATGTGCTTGGCGTGCAGCCAATAGTGACAAGGTAGGTTTCTGGGGACCCAGGTGGGGCAGGTCTATCTCAGGGCATCAGGCAGGTGCACTGGGGCTCTAGGTCTGGGGGACATGAGTGAAGCAGGGCCTGAGATCACTTCGTTCCATTCCTCTGTCCTTCCTCCTGAGGTTTTGATCTCAGCCTGGCTGGGGCTTTTCATGCCCCATTATAGGCCCACAGAAGGGAAGGGACTTACCTATGGTCACACAGGCAAGGGGAAACCAGGTCAGGAAACTGGGTTCTACACTCAGGGGGGCTGAATCCCAGATATGGGAATATGTTGCTATTTCAGTGCCCTCAGGTTTCCTCTCTACCCCCAAAACATCTCTCTGGCTTACTGGGGGAGCAGCTGGGCTTGGAGGAGATGGGGTTGGGGGAGTCAGAAAGTCCAGAATCTTCTGGGGCCAGCTATGTGGCTGAGCCTGACTCTCTCTGCCTCTCATTCAGGCAAGGCCAGGCCCCCGGATTGGCAGCCCGGGGGTGGGGGCATCCAAGGAATTGAGGCACTGGAGCGGAACGGAAGGGCCTATTGTCCAAAACCCGCCAGAGGCCCACAAAGGCTGGCCAGGCTTTTCATCTCGGCTCCCAAACAGACTGGCCATTTTCCTGGCTTGGGGAGGGGGCACTAACTTTTCAGAACTAGGACTGGGGTGTTGTTGAGGGTGGAGTGGGGTACCCCAGGCAGACACATAAAAGGGGCTTAAGATGGAGCTGAGGCCCAGAGGAGAAGGGAGGCCTGAGACGGCTGTAGAGTTAAGCTTTTCAACTCATTGTACCCAGAGGACCCAAGGACATGGGGTGGGTATCTGATCAAAGTTCAGACTATGATGGGGCTGGGAAACGGATTTACAGAATAATAGATAATATTTATGGGGGCACACTGGGAGGGGTCTGATGGCTTATTGGGAACATGGGCTATTGAGCTGTGAGGGCACGTCATCCTCCCCCCAAATTGGCAACACCTTCGGGAGCTGGGGATAGGAGCTGGAGAAGAGAGGGATAGTGGTTAGGGGAAAGAACGGGCTCCCTGCAGCAGGAGGGACTGAGGCCAGACAGCAGGAAGGACTTCCTGCCAGTGAACAGTAGCTCAGATGCCCTGACCCCGTTCCTGGGGATCTCAGAGGACCGCAGAAAGCAGGGGAGCTGGAGAACACTCCAGGGGCTTAGGCTGAGGCAGCTTCTGTGGGGGCTGAGGAGAAGGCTGGGGAGGGAGGTCTTGGCAGTTCAGTCCACCCTCCCCCAGCAGCACCTCAGCACCACTTTAAAAACAGCTTTTTAATTTAACAAAGTGGATGAAAAACTGTTTTTGGAAATAAAAGATATCTGCTCTCTCCCAGGCTAGTACTCAGCCCTTGCAGAGAGCCTCTCTCTGGTTTTCTCCCCAGTGCTGGTGGCTCCTTTTCTCTCTGTCTCTTTGTGTTTGTTTGTTTCTGTTCCTGGCCCCCCAGCTTCCCTTTGGCCTCCAGTCACCCTCTCTCTCTCTCCATCTCGCCTCCGTGGGAGTCTCGCCCTCAGTCTCTTATCTCAGCTGTGTCTCTGCATTTCCTTCTGTCTCTCCTCTCCCAGTTCTCTCTTCTGAAGCCCATCTCTCTCTCCTGATTCGTCTCTGTCTCCCAGCCTGTCTCAATCTCTGTCTCCCTCCACCCCCCTCCTTCTCCCCCAACCCCAGCTCTAAATGGGTCTATTTAAAACGCTCCACGCTGCCAAGTCAGAAAAGCGTCTCCTGATAAAGCGCATTAGGCGGAGGGAGGGAGGAGGGGGGAGGAGGGAGCGGCGGGCGGACGGATTGATCCAAGCCCGTAACCCCATTAATCAGGCAGCGTGGATCCCCCTCCCTCCCCCAGCTACAGCCCCTTCTGAGCTAAAAGCCCCTTAAATATTTATCACCCCTCCCCCACGGGGCCGAGGGAGGGAATGTGTGGCCCTTGGTGTGAGCCTCCCCAGCTGCCGTGTGCCCCCACCCCGTGTGCTTGTGCACATGTGTGCGTGTGCTCATGTGTCCATGCACCAGTGTGCACACCTGACAAGCCCAGGGCCCAGCTGCTGACTTGCCCCTCACCCTCTGGGCAGCCTGGCCCCTTGGGCAGTCCCTGGAGACTCTAGGGGTCTGGCCCTGTTCTTGTCCCTCCTGAAGGGGGACTTGGGCATGCAGAATAGGGAAGGGGGGGTCAGGGGGGTCAGTTGGAGGTCCTTATCCCCCGCAAAACGCCGAAAGTAGCTGGAGAACTGGGTGGCATTGCAGTATCATTCCCAGAGGGCAGGGCTGTGAGGCTGGAGTTCAGTTTCCAGATTCCTCCAAATTCACAGAGCAAGAAGTAACTTGGGGAATAGAGTTGGGGGCCGCATGCTCCTCAAGTACACGAAGGTAACTTGGAAGGCTGGCTTAAGTTCTTCTGTCGCCTCAGAGGGCAGGAATATGACCTGAGTATGGGTTGGGGGCCTCCCATACCCTAAAAAATGTGGGAAGGTGAGCTGGGCCTGGGTGGGGGACCCCTCATCACCCCCGGAGAGTAGGAAGGGGGCCCAGAGCTGGGACTGGGTCCCACATCTCACCACTTGCTGATCCCCACAGGCAGCAGAGGTCAACCCTGAGACGGGCAGGGTCTGCCCCAGTCGGCCCGAGGCAACTTCGCCTTGGGCGGGGGAAGCGAGGCCCCGGCCGCCCCTGGGTGTGAGGAGGGGCCCAGACCCGAGCCGGGAGGGTCCCTTCTCCTTCCCCTCCCCCATCATCAAGTGCCACATCTCCTCCTGACTCAGACAATTAGATTCAAAGGATGACCTCACTGCATGCCGTCCCTCACTCGCTCCCTCCGCTAGCTCGCTAGCTCGCTCGCTCGTTCGCTCGCTTGCGCGCTCCTTCCTCCCCTCCTCCCGGCCCGCTCGCCGCGTCGCTCGCTCGCGGCTGGGCCCGCGTCGCTCACAGCCCGGCCCCTCGCCCGCCCGCCCGGGCTGGGGGGGCCGCTCCTGCCTCCCCGGGCGGCGCGGGCGGCCGGGCTCCAGCCCCGAGCCCGGGGGACCCGATGGTCGCGGGCGGAGCGGGAACCCACGGAGCGCCGGAGGCACCGACGGGGCGCCTGCGTGGGGACCCAGGTCAGTGGCTGCAGGGCCGAAGGACTTGTCACCCCTGCCGCTGCCGAGACGCCCCCACCCGCGCCCGCCCGCCAGCCAGCCAGCCCGCCTCGGCGCTTCCCGCTCCTTTCTCGGCCCCCGCCCCCCGCGGCTGCTCGGCGCGCTCCCCCTGCCAAGCTGTCTCTCTTCTCTTCTCTTTCTCTCCCCCCAGCCCCCCTGCCTCTGCAGCCGGTGGGAGGGACTGGGACTTCCTGAGGTCCCAGGGATGGGGCCGGGGCCCATTGGCTGCAATCGGACCAGGCCTCTGAGAGGGGAGGGGGCTCTGGCTGTGTCCATCAGCCTGGGGGAGGGGACCACCGCCTGGGTGGGAGGGGGCTAGAGAGAGAGGGGCCCTGGGTGCGGGGGTGACATCTAGACAGAGGAGATGAGCTCCTGATATCTTTCTTTTCTCACATCCTGTGGGCCTCTTGCCTGGTTTCATTTGATCCCCAAAGCCTGGCTTCATTTGTCCACACCTCCTAGCTAACTTTAGTCCCCACTGCCTGGTTTCATTTGGCCACCACAGCCTACCTTCTTTTGGGTCCTATCATCTGGTTTCCTTACACCCTGCTGCCTGGTTTGTTCTGTCTCCACTCCCTGATTTCCATAAGCCCCTGTCACCTGGCTTTATGGGATGGCCCCTGCCTAGTTTCCTTAGGTCCTGCTGCCTGGTGTTTGCTTCCCTGCCTGGCTTCCATGGATCCATATCAGGCTCCTTTTAGGATAGGGGAATCAGAGCCCCGGCTACACCTGAAGTGGCAAGTGGCAAGGATGTCAACAGCATCCTTGATCATTCCTGGTTGGGGACCGGCCAGCACAGCCTGGATTCCATTCTGCCTGGACAGCGACTCGGCAGCTCAGCTTCTGCTCCTCCTGTGATGGAGGGCAGGGCTGCAGGGTCCGAGGACACTTTAGGACTCTCCTCCTCAGTGGTTAGTTAGTTAGCGGAGCACCTGCTCTGCTGTTACTGCTGCCTCCTGCTGCAGGGGATCTGCCCCCCCCACACCCCCCCCCCAGGTCTGACAGGGCTTTGGCAGGGGCTGGGGGTTTGAGGCCAGTGTCCCATCTCCTTACCCTCTCTTGCTGGTTCCTCAGGCAGGCCTGGTATCTGGATGCCCTATTGACAATTACGGGCACAGAGAGGTTTTGAAGAGGCCTGGAATCACACAGCAGATAACTAGGCTGAGAGCTGCTGCTGATCCTCATCCTGGAGAAGAGGGGTGAGGAGGGGAGGCAGTAAGGGCCTGGGGAATGGGTTGGTTTCTGGGGTTTTCTGGCTCCTGCTGCTACCAGTGCCACCATCTCTCTCACCTAGGAGCTGTCTCACCCTTCCTGTCTGGCGTGGATCTCCCTTCATTCGCTAATGCCTTTGCAAGCAGAGTTAGGGGAGGAAGGAGCTGTCTGGGGAATAATCATCTCATCTGTTTTCTCACTTTTTAGGGACAAAGTCCCTCCTTTCCTTTTCCTTCTTGCCTTACGCCACCCTGGGCTTTCTCTCTCTCCCCTCGAGCACACTAGGCAACCTGAGGTCCCAGCACGGTGTGACTACTCTAAGTGTGTATCTGGATATTTCCCATTGCCGGGTGTGGGGCGTGAGAGGCCGAGGGTGACTGGGGGCTTTGAGTTTCTGGAGGTGTACAATGGTATCTGTGCGGAAGGCTGGCTGTTCTGAGTGTGTGATGGTATCCATATGTGAGACCTTGTCTGTTTGTGTGAGGGAGTCTGTGTGTGTGTATGTGTGTGTGTGTGTGTGAGAGAGAGAGAGAGAAAGAAACTGTGACTATAATGTGTATGTGCCTGTACACCAGCGTACGCGAGGCTGTGGCAGCAGGTGTCCATGTGGGAGGCCATGATGTGTGGCCACGATGGCAGACTCTGAATGCCAGTGTCTGCAAGAGGCTGCTTGGGTGTGTCTGTAAAGCTCTGGCTATTTGTATGAGGAGGTGGGGGCTTTGGGAGCTCTGCTGGGTGATAGCAAGAGCCCAAGTGTGTGCTATATGTTGGGGCAAAGTGAGCTCTGAGTCTTGTGTGACCCCGAGTGGCTGGTGTGTGCGTGAGCATGTGTGCGCTCCTACTCATGCCTGTGTTTACCCATCAGGAACAGATTGCTCTAGCTTCCCTACTGTGAGGAGAGGAGGAGGGGGGGAGGAAGGATGGCTTGCTCTTGCCCAGCAGACCAGAAGGTTCCTCAGAAGTAGCATGCACAGTGTGCATGCATGCTAAGGGGGCATCGAGAACAGAACACAGAATACAGTTGAAGCTTCTGTTCCCCCCACCCAAATTGGTTCTGTCAGAAAGACCATCTTCAGTTTTTTTGTTACAAGCCAATGCTTCACATGTACTGCTGCCCCCGTCGCACACGCGCGCGCGCGCGCGCGTGTGTGTGTGTGTGTGTACGAGCTTGCATGCATTTGCCTCTGTGTGTGTATTCAAGGGTGTGTCTGCACCGAGGCAGTAGTGGGGCCAGGCTGGGGTGTGGTAGGAGATGCTGAGGCAAATAGGTCTTTGTCCCAGCCTTCAAGTCTGGAAAGCCATTCTGTCTGTCCTTCTGTCTCCAAGGAGGGCCTGCCTTGCAGCCTCCTTCCTGCCCCCTCATCTGCTGTGGGCCTTCCCTACCCTATCCCCAAGCTAAGGGAAGTCTCATTCAGCCCTGCTGCTCTGCCCATCCCCCACTTTTCATGGAGTTCTTCCAGCTGTCTAACCTCCTTCTGGCGCATTCTGTCTCTCCAAGAGGAGCAGCACCCCACTCCCCACAGACTTAACCTGACTAGTGTGTGGGCCTTTCCTGGGTGGAGGGGTACTCCTGATTCTACTGGAAGCCAGAAGAGACTAGACTGGACTTGGGGGATTGGGCACTTACCTCAGGTTCTGTGAAGTTGTCCAGAGCCCATTTGTCCAAGGGGAGGATATGAACTTATCTGCCCTTTCCTGCTCCCCATTCAGGAGGCAGGGGCTGAACCAGATGACTTTCGAGGGAGAAAGCTCAGGCCTTCTGCATCTAGAGGGCTGCGTACGCACAGGCTTGCATGTATGTGCATATACAAGCCTATGCCCAGGTTACCAGGCGGCATGCAGGGCCCTGAGTGGGCCTCATATGTGGGCACAGGCTGGTGGGACAGATTCCCAGCTCCTTAGGACACCTCCCCAGCTGTCTAGCCAGGCTTGTCATGGGAGGGCCACAGGCCCCGCTGACCACACGCCCGCACACACGTGCAACAGGGCATGCACATGCTGATCTCAGGGTCCCCACGGTGCAAGAGGCTGGGAATGGGGGTTTTGAGCACTTAGAGTCCAGGCTGCTGCCAAAATCCATTGGAATCTTGTCCCCCCCAGGCCCCCATCTCCGGCTGTGGAGGTCACAACAGCAGGTGCAGATACCCACCCCCCTAACTCACTCAATTGGGCCGCCTCCTTTTCCACAACCTCAGCCAGCGGCTGGAGCTGGGGGACTGCTCCCCCTGCCTCCCTCCTGGCCCCCCTCCCACTGGTGCTCAGTTTATCCTGCCCCCTTCTGAGGAGGAGGAGGTGGGGTCCTTTCTCCTTAGCACCAAGGCTTGCCCTGGAGTGGGTGCAGATGTGGTAGCTCAGGAAGAGACAAGTCTTGAATCCTGAACCCAGGCACTGCTTCTGGATCCTATGCCACTTGGGATGGGGGCACTGAGAGCCCAGAGGAGAGGCAGGTCTGGATTCAGAGAGGAGGGAAAGGAGAAAGAGCCAGAGACAAGAGATTCAGAGAGACACATCATAGGAGTGGGAGTCTGCCCGCCCATGGCCAGCCCATGGCCAGCCCGCCCCAGCCCAGGAGCTGGCCCCTGACCTGGGCCCGCCCCCTCCCTGGTGGGGGGCCTGCTGGGCCAGCTGCCAGGGGCCAGGCTTCCCTCCTGGCCTGGTCCCCCCCCCCAGCCTCTGGACAGCTCGGGCCTCTGCCCCCGCCCCCACCGCCCACGCTGTCCAGGCTGCCTAGGCCTGGTGGGATCTGGGGGCCTCCCGGCCTCAGCCCCTCCTCCCCCTCCTGGAGCTTCCTGCCCGCCCTGACTGTCTCTCCCAGGCTCCCCTCTGCCGGTGCTGTTCTTCCCTGCCCACCATGTCCTTGTCCCTGTCTCTGTCCCTGCTGTCTCTCGTTTCCTTTCCCATCTCCAAATACATGTGTCTCTCTTCCTTGCTTCAGCCTAATTCCTCTGCAGGTCTGAGGCTTCTAGAGTTCCCCAGCATTTGAATCAGTTAGTCCATGCTGTGTCCTGTGTTCTGGCCCCATTTCTGGAGATGGACCCTCTAGGGCTGCCGTGGGGAAAGGCGAAGGAGATGTGTCTCTAGGACAAAGGGTGCCTTTTCCCCTCACACTGTGGGATTCTGGAGTCTGGGGTTATGGGGGCTGGGGGGCAACAGGAAGCTGGTGGGGAGTTACCTTGGCCCTGCACTAGGCTAGATGCCCTCCATCAGGTGAATGTTCCTGACCCCACCCCAGTCCCTGGCAATGGGGAGAGGTGAGTCCAGCCAGTGACCTGCTTTGGATCTCAGATCCCCTGCTTGGAGATGGAATGGTAACCTTGTTTTGAGGTCACTTGCTTTGAGGCCTCCCTGCTCATTCGTTGTCCAAGCCAGACTAAGCCTACCTGACCCTCAGCATACCCATGCCGACCTACACCCTGAAGTTCAGAACACACTATTGCAGATTAGCACTCACAGTTACAGCTGGGGCTCAGTCAGTGGTGCTCAGCCCCCCGCCCCCACCTTACTGGGGCAGGGATTCCCAGGGTGGCCTTGTGCAACCGAGACTGCTGTCTCCGATCCTGCCGGGATATGTATAGGGGCTTCCAAAACTCATACCTCGCTCTCCCAGGTTCTTCCCTTAGCTGGGTAGTGGTCGAGAGTGAGGGCACAGCAACTGTGACATTGCTGGGGTCTTGGGTCCTGGATCCTAAGCCAGACTCCGAAACTGGGTAAGTGAGTTTCCTGACCTGGAGCCTGTCACTGTGTCTGTCAGTGTTACTGATGGTGACTGTCAGCCTCCAAGGGTGCCAGTATTACTGTAGACTGGTGTCATTCTGTGTGACTGTTACTAAGTCTATCAACGCCCCTGTGTCACTGTATTGATGTCACCATCTGTGTTCCTCTGTGTGACTGTCAGTCTCATTGCATCTTTGACTCTGAGGTTACTGTCATTGTGACTGTGTCAGTGTCAACAGGTGTCATTGCCCTGTTTGTTGGTGTCATTGTATGTGATTATCACTCACTGCATCATTGTCATTGTGGTGACTGTCAACATCCCTGTATGTCATTGTCAACAGTGCAACTATGTCATTTTCACTGGGTATTGTCATCCCTGTGCAATGGTGCCTTTTTGTCATAGCGAGACAGTGGCAGTAAGTTAGGGCCCAGAATTTGACTCTTGTGTCACCTGTGTGTGTATAACCATGATACTGGGTCATGGAGAGGTGCTGGGACCCTTGTGCTGACAAGGGGTTCAGGGGCTGCTGGGCACTGGGCTCCTTTCTTGCTAATGGGGAACCCTCTGCTCCTCATGCTGAGACTGACCTCTTCCAGGGGCCTGCAGGGAACCCAGGCCAGTGTGCACAGCCCTCATCTGAGGCTCTATGGGATTTTCCCTCCAGATCTATCCCAGCAGTATGGGGTGTAGACTAGGAAAATTCCTGGGGAAGGTGCTCTTTGCCCTGGGACGGGTGGCCTGGGGCGAGCCAGGGCAGGGTGGAGGTGTGTCCTGGATGCCTCTGGCCTCAGCCTCCCGACCTGGGGAGTGGGCCCAGCTGGGACTCTGAGGAAAGGGGGATGTGAAACTGTCCTGGGGCTTTCTGGATCTGCAGAGGAAGGGGGAAGGGGCAGGGATGGGGCTTTAGTTCACCCCTAGATCCCCAGTGAGAACCCCCCAGACCCCAGGAAGGCCCTGCTCTTGCCTCACATTACACACCACCAGCCCATCCTCCTTCATGTTGGAGGAGCTGGAAGCTCACAGAGTTACTCTAGAATGGGCACAGAGACCCTCCAGGGTCTCTGTTATTCTCTCTGGATCCGTCTCTCCCTCTGCCCTTGAGTCTCCACCCATCTCCCATGTGCCCTGTCTTTCTCCCTGTGTCTCTTCCATTTCTCCCTACCTCCGTCTCTCCTTGTCCCTCTGGATCTCCACTCAGGGCTTTCCTTCTCTCCATGCCTCTTGTTTCCACTTCCTGGGTCTGTCCCTTTTCTGGGTGCCCCCAACCCTGCAGTGTCTGTCTTGGAACCCCACCCCCACTCTCTGCAGCACTCGCTCTCAGCAGAGCCCGTCTCTCGTGGCTGCAGCCCCGTTGGCCCAGGGCCCAGCCCTTACAGTAACTCATCGGGCTGATGGAGGCGACTTTGATGAAGAAGCCACCCCTCCCCCTGTGGGGGCCTGAGCGTGTGTGCGCGCACGCCTGTGTGTGCATCCACACACGTGGGGGTGGGTGGGTGTGCTTGTGTGGACCAGGAAGCAGCTGGGGGCAGAAGCCACCCCGTTCCTCTTCTCCCCCGGACACTCCCATCCTGTGATCTAACCTCATTCCAGTCGGCCTGCTCCTTGCCTGCCCTGCCTGGTTCCTGCTCCCATGCAGTGGGCAGTGGACCTGGCACTGAGGCGGAGGATCTTCCTGGCTGTGAGGAGAGAGGCATGGACAGATGGCAGAGATGGTGGGGGAGGGTCTGAGGGCCACTGGCAAGGGCTGAGGTGATGAACCAGGTAGGCCTCCAGCCTCTGTCTCTCTTTCTTTCTCCCGCACAGCTCTGAATTCAGACAGTTCTGGGTTCATTTCCCCACCGCTTGCTGGCTGGGTGACTTTGCCTTAACCTCGCAGACCTGAGGAGTGGCCCAACACGGGGCGGTGGCTGCAGGTCAGAAGGAGCCAGGCCAAGTGATAGCTAAGGTCCTAGGAGTCGCTGATGTGGGAAGGGTAGCCAAGGCCACATGGGGCATAGAGAGATTAGCTGTGCCAGGGAGGAACGGTCAGAGTGGCTGTGGCTGGGAAGAAAAGCAGGTTCAGATGAGGGGACTTTCCTGGAGAGGGTCAAGTGTAGCAAAGGGCAGGCAGGACCCCCTCCCATAAAGGAGCCCTAGGAAATCTGATTCTCTCAAAGCTCATCCCCTGAAATGCCATAGTCCGATACCCACACTTGTCACCCCTCTGCTGTAACTGTGACAGCCCTGCCTCTAGCAGTGTCTCTGGCACATTCTCTGGGTGTATCTGGCAGGAGGTCGCTGTCAGTTTCTCTGGCTGTTTCTCTGGCAGTATTTCTTACGGTGTCTCCGGCTGTCTCTGGCAGTGTTTGCCGTGGTGTGGACACTTCCTGACTGAGCATCTGGCTACAGCTCTAGCGCTTTTTCTCTAGCTGTTTTGCTGGGTGTTTGCTGTTTGTGTCTATCAGTTTCTCTGGTATTTCTCTGCTTGTGTGTCAGACGGTTTCTCTGGCACCGTTTCTGACAGTGTCTCTAGCTCTCTGGTGTGGCGCTGACGGGTCCTCGGCCCGTGCGCCTTGCTTTTCCTCTGGCAACATGTCTGCCTGGGTCTGGCTGAGTCTTTCACAGTGTTTCTGGCAGGGCCTTTGTGTCAGTTGCTCTCTGACCATTTCTCTGGCTGATTATCTGGCTGCATCTACCTGTTTCTCTAGTTTGTCTGGTGGCCTCTCTAACAGCTTCTAGTCTGTCTCCCACTGTGTGTGGAGCTTTTTCTCTGGGGTTCTGTTGGGTTACTTTGGGCAGTGTCTCTGGTCTGTGTCTGCTGTGTGGCCGCCTGTAGCTCTGGCAGTAGCCCTGGTTGAGTGTCGGCAGTGTCCCTTAGTGTCTCTCTCTGGAGCTCTGCTTCTGTGTGGTTGACAGTCCCTGTCCCTGTTTCCCTGTTCAGACTGGGGGTGGGGGGATGTTGCCACACTTGGGGCCTGTTCTGCAGGAAACAGTTATTTCCCTGTCCTCAGGTGTGAGTGTGTGCTAGGTGTGTGTGGGGGAGCAGTTGGACCCATCCCAGGAAGTAGGACGTGGAGGGCATGGAGGGCAGAGGCATTGGATCCACCGTGGCCTCTGGAAATATGTCCTGAGTGTGCTTTGTGTACTTGCATGAATGCATGTAGACACCAGTGCACATCTTCTGGGCTGGGGGGCCCAGGCTCCTGGGGGCACATGGCTGGGGTAGAAGATGGGCTGGGGTCCATGACAAGGACTGACATATGCAAACCCCTCATTTTCTCTTGATCATTGGTATACCATTAAGCAAAAGCCACATCTGCCCTGTACCACTGCCCTGGTACTCTGCTGCTCCGAGTTTCCCAGAGCCCAGTGGCAAGGCTCACGGTGTGTTGGGGGATTGGGACAGAGGACAAATCCAAGGGGTTCCTGAGCATCCAGGTTTCAGGCTCTCTCCTCAGGAGCATGGCAGGGGGCCTCCCATACAAAGCAATTTGGAGTACAGACCTCCAATTAAGTTAAAACATTACCCTTTCAGTTCATGATGTTTATAGCTAATTAGCCAAACTCACCAGTAAAGTTATTTTTTTTTTTTTTTTAGAAAAATGGTCCTGGCATTACCAATGTTCTATAATTCATCCGTGGTTGACTGCATTCTGCAGCCAGCAGTCTTATCGAACACCAAACCACTGTAGGTTGCCTTCTACCATCTTTAGCAAACCTTTGCCTAGAAATGCCAATAATGTTGCTTTCTATTGCTTGAAAGAGGATCCTGAGCCCCATTAAGAAGGGTATTTGGGGTCAAGGTGCCCTGGCCCCAGGGCTGGGATTTCCCAGTCCTGCCCTAGAACAGGGGGCTCCCGGGGTTGTTCCTGTCTAGGCTCATGCTGCCCCTCCCCCACCCCTGTTTCTCCCAACAGATGGCTGCTCCTGTCCCGTGGGCCTGCTGTGCTCTGCTTGCTGCTGCTGCTGCAGTTGTCTACGCCCAGAGACACAGTCCACAGGGTGAGTGCTTGGGGGAGCTGCCTGCCGAGCCCCTCTCAGAACTGGACATGAACTCTCTTTGGCACGAGTGCATACTGACACCACCCAAGAGTCACACACTGGGATTGTCACACATGAACACCCAGAGGGACATGTCACATGACAATGATATGCAGTGTGACCCACTGATGTCTCATAGGTAGGGTCCTCCACAGTCACATGCTGATGGTGTCTCTGGCTTGACATGCTCTGTCCCTCTTTCTACCAGGGTGGTAGGGCATAGGCAGTGGGATGGAAGTTGGGTGGAGGAGGCTAGGGGCAGGACCTCTGCAGTATCTGGGTGAAAGGCAATCTCCTTCTAGAGATTGGTGAGTGCAATTGGAGGCACTGATAGCAGACAGTGGGCAAGGCTGCTGGTCACCTTCCACCCTCAGCTTTATCCTAGAGGGAACATAGGGACAGAGACAGTGGACTTAGAACAAGATAAAGGGACAGGCAGGGTGGCAAGCAGGAGAGGCTGGCACACTACAGAGGGGCACAGATCAATCAGCTGGAATGCCCAGAGGAGAGCGGGATTGCTCAGAGCTGGGCCATGCGCAACCTCCCTGCCCTCCCTCTGCCTGTTTGTCCAGTGAGGGCCAAGTCCTTCCCACAGCCCACAGGACAAGGGGCTGTACCCCTGCTGGGGAAGCAGGTGTCCTCTTCCCTTGACCACTGGCCCCTCTGCTACATTTGAGGCAGCACCTGAACGGCCACATAAGTACAAGTCTGCACTCAAAACCTGCCTTGATGAGGCTCCCTAAGCTCCCCGCTTGGGTGGGCCCTGCCCCCAGCCCCCTCAGCTGGCTTAGGCAGAGGCAGGGAAGGTGGGGTATCTCCAAGGACCAGGCACAGAACAGGCCCTGATGGCCCAGCTCTGCCACCCTCAAGGCTGTGAGTTGAAGGGGGATAGTGGGCCAAGGCTTCTGTGGCCTCTTCTTTATCAAACCAGCACTGAGACCCAGAGAGAGCCTGGCCGGTGCCAGGGCTGCTGACTGGACCTGCCTAGAGCCTGCCAGTGGACTCTGCCATCGTGTGTGGAGGTCTTTACCGTGTATGACCAAGGCCTCGGCCATAAGGCTGCGTCTTCGAGAGTGTATGAGACTGTGTCCCTGTGTGTGAGACTGTGTTTTTATATGGGTGACAGCATGTCCCTGTTTGAATGCATTTTTCTGTACACTGTATCCTTGCAGGCTGTGCCACACGTGTGACATTGTCTATATGTGACTGTGCCCTTTGTGGGGCTTAACCTTGTGTTTGAGACTGTGCCCCTTTTATAATAGTATCTCTCTGTTCCTCTTTATGAGTTTGTGTCCCTATTAAACTGTCTCCCTCTGTGTGAGACTGTGTTCCCACATATAGCTGTGCCCTGGGTGGTGATGCCCTTCTTGTCTGTGCCTGTGATCTTGTATCAGGTGTTACCATCCCTGAAGTGGGACAGTGTCCCTGTGAATCCATGTGTGACTGTGACCTTGTGGACAGCTGTCCTGTGTGTCTTCCTTCTTTGTGGGTGACTGTCCTGGTTCCTGTGTGTGTGACAATGTGAAGTTCCTTAGGGTGCCCTGAGGGACTGTTTCCGGCACATGATCCCCAAGTGAGCCCATGTGTGCAGGTGTGAGGGAGCTGTCGGCCCTGTCCCTCTGTGTTCTCCACGTCCATGACCTCATCCTGTCTCTGTCTCTCATCCTGGCTTCTAACAACCTTTTCACAGCTGATTCCTTTGGAGCATTTGTCACCGCGTCAGGGCCAAGAACCCCATCCTCCCCCTGCTGCTTGATTTAATTTCTGAAATGGACAGCACATCAGTAGGGGCACCCACAGGGCGGAGGAGAGCTGTCCAGAGACAAAGGATTAAATCACTGCCATCTTTGGAACTGTTGCATGGCTGTGTGTATTGCTATTGTTGTGTTATTGTAGCAGTTGTGACACTGTGTGATTGTCATGTCATTTTGCCCCCTCCGCCTCTGCATTGTGGCCTTGTAGTTGTCTTCTGTTGTTGTGTTGTCATTTTTCATTCCTGCCCTGCCCTGCCCTTACATCCTTAGTTTGTCATAGTTGTGAGGTTGTGTTTTCATTTTTCTTGTGAGGCAGACAAGGTGTGGTAGGGAAGTGTTACCCCATTGTCATTGTATCTGTTATGTTGTTGGGTCGCTGCATCCTCATGTTGTGGCTATCCCTGCTCCCCAGTATTAAAGGGCCATGCTGGGTCCATGTTAGCATTGAGCCGCTGTTGGTCAGTGTGGATGTGTGGCCTCTGGGACCGTGATGGCCACGCCCCCTCCCCAACGGTCAGTTTTCAGCCTCCTCCTCAGACAGCTGGACGCAAAGTCTCTACTGGGGGGGTGCAGAGAGAGGGGCTTGGCATGTTTCCTGGAAGCTCCAGGTTTTTGGAAGGAAGGCTGGAGAGGGGCTCAGAGGCTGGAGCTGGTGGTTGGGGGGGGGCTCAATGGCCTGAGTCTTGGACACTGGGCCTCTGGTCAGGGGGAGGCCCCCATTCAGTCTCTGGTCCAGCCTCACAGCTGTGGCCTCCAAGGCCCCCAGCCACCGCCCTTCCGCCCGTTCATCCTCTGTTCGGCTGGTCCCAGGCCCCACAGACAAGTGGTCAGGGCTGGCTGGGTTTCCTGCTTCCTTCTCCTCTGACAGGGACAGAGAGGCTCAGAGAGGGGCAGGACAGAGAAAGGCGGCAAGGGAGAGAGACCGGGAGACACAGAGGGACCCTGGCACTGGGAAGATGACAGGGGCAGCAGACCGGGACAGATGTTCCAGCACAGAGAAAAGCAGTGCTGGGGAGGGGCTGCAGCGGGGGAAGGGAAACCTGGTGGGCCCAAGGGGGATCCCTACCCCCCTGCAGTCTTGGTGGTGTTAACAAGTCTAATTAAGAGGCCACTGGCCCAACTTAATTGGCTCGTTAACAGGAATTGCCTCTGAAAATCCCCCAACTCAGCGGGGTGGCTCTCTGGAGGGAAGATGTAAGCGAGTGTTAACGAGGGATCCCGCAGCCCCCCCAACTGCGCCCCCTCCCCTTTCCTGTCACCGCTCCCACCCTCACTCCACAGACCTGGCCAGGACCAGGGAAGCAGGATGAGAGGGGGGTGTCCTAAGAGTCCCATCTCCCTGGCTCTGTGTGCCTGCTTCTCTGCAGAGCTGCCTCTCTGACCTTCTCTGTCCCACTCGCCGCCTCCAGCCCTGTGCTGCCTCCCGGCAGGTGCTCCCTTCCACCCTTCCGTCTCCAGTCTCCTGGGCTCAGTCCATCACGCCTGGGTTGCTGAGGCCAGGCTGGGGTTTGCTTTTGGCTCTGACAGGCCCTTCACGGGGGCCGGGGGCCGAGAAGAATGATCAGAGTGCTCACTCAGTCCCAGAAGCACTGCCCGCCCCAACTCCCCGAGCGGGCACTAAGCAGCTCCTGCCTCCCGAAGCTGACAGCTGCCAGGGGTTCCCCAGGGCTCACTCCTGCCCATTTTCCCTTCCCCTGCTGCTGCCTAAGCCTGGATGGCTAGAGGAGGGGTTCTGGGGTGTGAACAGAATCAGGGAGAGGGAGAGAGGCAGGAAGAGAGATGGAAGAGAAAAATAGATGGGGAGAGACAGAGAAAGGAGTGGGACCCTCAGTGCCAGCTTGCCTGGGTAATGGATGGCAGTGCCTGGGGCCGGGCCTGTGGGTGGCAAGGGGTTAGGGACATGGAGGTCAGGAACACAGTTTAAAGAACAGGGACTAGATGTGAACCAGGTTTTCACTGAGAATTGGCCCCTCCTGGCACTACACAAACTCTTCTCTCTCTACATCACACACACACACACACACAGCCCCTGTACATGCACACGCATACAAATTGGGAGACCCTCACATCACTGCACACTGCACAGCCACAGAGGAGGTCTGCACATGTCCCATCTACCCATGACACTCACACAGGCAGGTGTGGAGCTTCTCACTCTCGCCGTGCACCCTCACAGGCGCCCATCCACGCACATGCACCTGGGGGTGCTGGGCAGGGCTGTGACCTGTACCTCTTGCCCTGTGCCCTCCCTGCCCCCTACAGAAGCACCCCATGTGCAGTATGAGCGCCTGGGCTCAGATGTGACACTGCCATGTGGGACAGCAAACTGGGATGCAGCCGTGACATGGCGGGTAAATGGGACAGACTTGGCCCCTAACCTGCTCAACGGCTCTCAGCTCATGCTCCGGGGCCTGGAACTGGGCCACAGTGGCCTCTACGCCTGCTTCCACCGTGACTCCTGGCACCTGCGCCACCAAGTCCTGCTACATGTGGGCTGTAAGTATTGCCCTGACCTGTTGTCCGACCTCCTGCCTTCCTTGAGGCCCAGACCCCTAGCCCAGATCAAGTCCCCTTCCTGTTGGGAGGCAGGGAGAGGGGCAGGCTGCAGCCTTACCCTTGCCCTCTGATTCTATCCTAGCTGCTCTTCTGACCTCTGAGCCCAGGCTTGCCCACTGAGTCCAGACCCTGGACATTTTGCCCATGTATCCCACCTCTGTGGAGGTCTTTGAGATCCTAAACTTCTGTCCCCTGGACAAAATGGGTAGAGGAGAACTGGCAAGGCAGGGCCCTCTGGGGTCTGAGTCGGGATGAACCCTAAGGCCACAGCTCTGACCTGCAATGGCCTCACTTTGTACTCATAGGGCTGGCCAGAGGGCCTTAGGGAGGAAAATGGGGTAGGGGGTTATATAGGTACAGGTGTGGGCCCTGGGAGGCCTCAGGGAAGGAGGGAGGCTTCCTGGAGTAGGAGGCACATGGAGATTTGGAGGATGTGGAAGATACATGGAAATAGCATTTCTGGCAGAAAGCTGCATGTGCCCATAGGCCTCAGAGGCGGGAGGGCACGAAAAGGCCACTTGGGCTGGCACAAATGCGGAGGGGGGGTGCTGAGGGAGGGAGCAGGGGCAGATCATGATCCTAGAAGTTGGGGAGTGACACAGTCTGGGTCATGTTCTTAAAAGATCACTGTCACTGCAGTAAAGAGAGGCAGGTTGAATGGCCAAGGCCAGGGTAGGAAGGAGGCTGCTGCAGGATCAGGAGAGATGATAAGGACCTAGGACCAGGCCATGGGGTTGGGGAATTTTGAGAAGGGGTAGTTGGACCTCCAGGAATTGGTGACAGATTGGAGGTAGGAAGGCCAGGAGGGTAGAGAGTGGGAGGAATAAGGACAGCTGGAGGTATCGGTTGCTGTAACAAGGAGAAGATGGAAGGAATGGACAGTGTCTTAGTTTGGATTTCCCTAGAATTCGATCCCCAAATGAGAATTCATATTTAAGTAGTTTATTTGGCAGGTGACATAACCATGATAAGGGACTGGGAAAGTGGCACAGAAAAAGGAAGTTAAGTTACTCAATAAAGAGTGAGTTATCCAGATATTGCCAACCGGAGTCACCACTGAGGGAACTCTGGTTGCAGATGCAGAACATGCTCCTCAGTTAACCTGCCTACGGGGTGAGGGATCTGGGAGGTATAAACACTAACTCCTGCCCATCACTGGCTGAGTGATTCTTTTGGGGCGGGGGTGGAGGTGCTTTAATTCCCCAGCACTTTTGGCTTGATGACCCCGTAGGCAAAGCAGACCTTGGTGGCCAGAGAAAGCTCTTAGGCAAATAACTGCAGATGTTGGCAGTGAGAAGTGGTACGGGCTAGGGATCTGTAGCTCCTTGGACATCTGCTGCAGACGTGTTGGGTTGGGATCCTTGGGGGACAACCGGGAGTTGATGGCTGGTAGCCAGCGGATCCGAGGTTCTGGGACCCGGGAAGAGGCCTGTGCTGGAAATGGAAATTTGGGGGGTCTTCAGCATTAAGGCCCATGGGGGATGGATGAGATGGCCAAGGGAGGAATTATGGAGTGAGGAGAGAAGAAGACTGAGAATTGAGCCCTGAAGACCATCTGCGTGAAAGGGGTTGATGGAGACAAAATGAGCCACAAAATGAGATAAGGAGTCAGCAGAAATGTAGAGGGAAGACCAGGTGAGTGTGACTTGGAGGAGGGATTTGAAGTCGGAAAGATAACATCATCAGTGTTGCTGAGGGTCAGGTGGGCAGACATGTGGATCTCAGCCAGAGACATCCACCATCAGAGTGAATACTGTGAACATAGTTCCCTTTCTTTTCCCTGAGCCAGAGCTTCAAGCTCTTTTGGCCCTATTCCATTTGCATGTGATACACCCCACTACCCGAAGATGGTTTCTTTACTCCCTGGAAGCTACCTAGGAGATGCTTAAGGGATCTGGGAGACTGGGTGAACAAACATGTGAAAGTGTGTTTCTCAGGGTCTTCCATAAAAATGCTGACCCACCAGTGGGCCTGAAGGTGTGAAAATACTTTTTGGTGGGGAATGTGCCTTTTCCCATGGGAAAGCCTTTTTTAAACGTGTGTAAGCTGGAGAGATGCCATTTAAAACCAAACATTTTAATTGCAAACCAAGGGTGGAGTGACCCCTGTTGGCCAGCTTGAGAAATGCAGGACCAGCCTAACTGAATCCACCCTGGCCCACTTGGGGTCTGTCAGAAGTAGAGCCTAGTCTAGGCCCTTACACAGGGAAACATCATTTACTGAGTGCTATGGAAGAAGGATGAGCCCAACTTGGCACCCACACTCCTGTCTTCTCAGTTTGCATCCCAAAAGTCCTCAGGATAGATAAGGCTGGCAGTAATGGGCTTTGGTGACCCTAAGCCCCCATTCCTGATGACTTGATCTTCAAGAGGTCCATCGGAGAGGAATTGGGTCTTGAAGTAATGTCCATAGCCCACAGCTGCCCTGTTGTGACCAGACCTAGACCTTTTATATATAGTGCTTACTGTACCCCAAGCCTCGCCTATCAGAGGAGGGCTGGCTATGAATTGGCTGTGGCATTAGTAACAGGTACTTATCTTTCATTGCCTTATTTCCTCCTAAAGACCTAGTCAAAGGAACAGGGGATATTAATCATGATCATCTCAGTCACTTTTTATTAGTAACAGGAGACTGGGTTTGGCAACACTCAATACCAAATTATCCTTCTTGCCAGCTCGCAGAGAACAGGATAGTGTTATCCCTGATTTGTGGGTCATTCAAACCAAAAATTATTTAATATTTATCCTAAACATGTGCGATTTTCATGTCTTTATTTCCAAGGGAACCTGATCATAGCAATATTCTATGGGAAGTCTCCTTATCCTGGCTGGTCCCTCAACTGGTCCGATCCACCTTCCGGCTCTCAGGTGGACACTCACAGAGCGCTAAGGAATCTCCTACCTAGGATGGTGAAAGGACCCCCCACGTTATGAACAGGATCACGGTGTTCCTTTTAGTTTCATCCTTTTGTTTACAAGACACTGCTGATTCAGTATCATTCTGATTTTAAGCTAAAACAAACAAGAGATTAAAATATTTTTAAGTGGACAGTTCCTTCGGCCCTTTCTGGCTGGGAAGGAAGGAGTGGAGAGATGGCTATGGTTAAAGAAGAAGTCTGGGGAGAAATCACGAGTGGGAGGCAGGAGGGGCATTTGGGAGTCCAGCAGTTGGGGCACCTCAAGGGGATGCCACGAGATAAGATCGAGCCAGGCCATGGGCCTTGAATGCCAGGCGGGAGGAGGCGTGTGGGTGGGGTGTGGGCAGGGCTGGAGCAGAAGGGTCACCCCGCCCCACCCCACCCAGCCCGATCTGGCCTGGCCCAGGGTGTGGGCAGCCTGCCCCTCCTTCTCTCTGGGCCGGCGGGCAGGCCTCGTGCGTGCCGGGGGCTCCAGCCCAGGCGGGCTGGCGAGATGAGAGGAAAAACATGCGGTTTGGTGGGCTGGACATGGAAAAACAAGCCAATTAGGAAGAAAACAAACAAACCCTGGGCCAGCGGGGGCACACGCACGCATGCACACGCACACTCTGCCCCGTGTGGGACCCAGGGACATCCTGCCACAGGCTGACACAGTCACTTGGGTGTCTCAGGAGCCCCCGCAAGGGGCAGCTCAATGTCTGAGCATCTCGGAGCACGCCTGTGTGCCCAGAGTCTGGTGCTGTGATATGTGTGCATAGGAGCGTTTGCTCACGTGCTCCCTTTAACACGCTCTCACACGGTGTTTGCTCCAAAAGTGTGAACAAGCAAGGGACTCTGGGCACCTTCCCACACCGACCCTTTGAAAAATACACTCAGGTGGAAGCTCCATCACGTACATGGTGTCTCCTGTATGTAATCTAGCAGTCCTGTGTTCAGACACTACGGCACGTTTACACACACTCTCGCAGAGTACCTCAGCCACACAGCCTCACACATAAAGACAATCTCGAAATTGAACAGCCTTACCCTGAGTCACACACAAACACAGTCATCATCCAGTCCCACACAGCCTCCAATCATATAGTTACACAACTGCCTGGAGTCCCACAGCCACACACACGAAGCCTCTCAGAGTTACACATACAGCCTCACAATCGCAGTTTCTTAAAAACAGCTTTTCCCCCAACTCACAACATACAACAAGCATCCTGATCCCACACTGTCCCACAGTCTCACAGCACCCCCACCTCCGCCCACCCAGCCCCTCAGCTGGGCTCCAGCTGCAGCAAGTCACTCCTTTTCTTCCTTTTCTTTGTTTTTCTTTCCTCCTTTTCCCTCTGAGAAACCTGGTCCCTGTCAGGAAACCCAAGCCCTTTCCTGCTCAGGGCCCAGGGCCAGGCAGGAGTAGCCAGATGACAGACAAAATCCCCCCGCCCCCCACCCTCACCCTCCACCCCATGACCTGCCCAGTCAGGGAGAGGAACTGGTTTGAAGGGGAGGCTGGTCTGGGGGGGTGATAGTCGGGACAATGGAGGAGCCTGGGCAGTGGGGAGGCTGGCCGGGGAGGGGGCCTGGGAGTCCGGTGCCATGGCCCGCTCTGCCCTCCAAAGAGTCCCAGGCAGCAGGGAGCTGACTCTGCAGCCTTCGTTCCCCCCAGCCCCCCCTTCCATCGCCCTTCTCCTTTGAAGCTGGGGGTAAGGGGGGGTGGTGGCAGGAGGGGGGAGTGGAGGCTTCTCGGCCGACCTCGGAATGTCCTTTTCTCCTGGGGCGGCTGCCAACTCTGGCCTGGCCAACAGGCCCCCAGAAGGCACTTCCTGTGTCCTTGGCCGCCCCCCACCCCACCCCCATGCAGAGCTCTACACCCGTGGGTAGATAGGGAAGGGACACTAAAGGCACACAGGATGAACATAGAGCAGACACAAGATGGACACAGGGCCAGGACGTCTTCCCAGGGGAGGCAGGCAGCAGAGGGTAGAATACAGATTGTCCCTTGTGGGGTCTCTGCTGGGCTCTGGCTCTTTCCTGCAGGCCTGGGGAGTGGAGCTGTCTCTGTCACCAAATTGCCCACTCCACCTGCTACACTGAAGTTCTCCTGATGCCTTCCTGCCCCCTCATCTCTGCTGCAAAGCCATATCTAGGTTCTGGGGGTTCTGCCCCAAGTCCCTCCACAGCTTCACACATACTGGACACACTGGACATGTACATGCAATCATACAGAGTCACTCTCAGTCACGTGCACATTGTGGATGGAAGCCCACAGTTTCCCATGTGTCACCATGGCCACTCTACAAGCATAGACACACACTCTCCTTCACTGTCCCTGGCTTATTGAGCTGCCCCCCCTCCCATTTCCTGTCCACCTGTCAGGCAGGGGGCGGGGGCTGGGGGAGGCACAGGAGGGAGGTGTCAGTGTCCCTGGAGCCACAGACGGACATTCCTTGCCTGGGTCAGATCACAGAAGCTGCCTCCTTCCAGGAACCTGAGCCGCCTGTCCTCACGCCTTACCCAATACTTGAGGGTGGAACAGCTGGGCTAAGTGCTCACGGCAGCAAAAAGAGTGTGGTTAGACAGCAGAAAGGACTTCCCAAGTGTGCGTGTGTAGTCATGTACGTGGGTAACTCCATCCTGGGGTTTAGTCGCAGCTCTGCCTTGCTGTGTGACCTTGGGCCACTTCCCTCTCTGGACCTTTCCACTCCAGAGTAAAGGCAGCTGCTGACCTTGCAAAGGGCATCTCTACAGGGTCTGTGATGGAGAAGCTAGAATGAGGTACACGCAAGGGGAACAGCAGCTTCCTTTCAATAGGCACTGTACACACAACCATAGAGGGACATGCACTCTGAGAGCCACATACAGATTCACACACATCCACACACATGGTCTTATGCATCATTGTGACTTTTTCATGTCACATGTATATTTGCATGTAACATGTAATTCCCACGCACATGGAGACCTACACACACGTATGCACATGAACAGCGCCCAGTGTTGTTCCTATGCAGCCACCAGCCCTGGCCTTGTGCCTCTCAGTCTCTACTTAGGGGAAGCCTGGGGTGTCCTTTCTCCAGGAAGTGCACCCAGATCACCCCAGCAACCAGAGGACACATCCAGGACTCCCCTCAGTCTCTGTTGCACAGTCTTCCTCTGGTAGTGGACACGGTGAGGCTGGAGGTGTGGGGCTGGGCCCGATTCCCCCAGACACCACCTCCATCCTGTGATTGATGAGCTGAGGCCCGCAGCCCCTGCTCCCCACAGTCCCTGCCTCCATCGAGCAGGTGGGGGGGGCTGCTGCTCTGCACAGCCCTTGTTTTTCTTTAATTAAACATCTGGCTCTCTGTGGCCTGGGAAGCCTCAGACCCTTGCTGACAGCCCCCCTCCCCACCTTTGGCATCAATGATAGGCTGAGGGGGGGGGAGAGCTGGGGCTCTGGGGCCCATCTGTCCCCACACTAGTACAGGGGACTGGGGGCCCCAAGAATGCCCTGACCTCGCTGTCCTCACCCCTAGTGCCGCCGAGGGAGCCCGTGCTCAGCTGCCGTTCCAACACTTACCCCAAGGGCTTCTACTGCAGCTGGCATCTGCCCACCCCCACCTACATTCCCAACACCTTCAATGTGACCGTACTGTGAGTAGCTGCGCCTGTGACCCGGTTTCAGTCCTGACCTCTGACCTCTCCCCCAGACCAGCCTTGGCTTGACCTTCCCCCAACCTCTGCCCCACCTGACCCTTCATGTTGGTAATGGTACTTGGGCCTCACCCCTCCCCAGGCACGGCTCCAAAATTATGGTCTGTGAGAAGGACCCAGCCCTCAAGAACCGCTGCCACATCCGCTACATGCACCTGTTCTCCACCATCAAGTACAAGGTCTCCATAAGTGTCAGCAATGCCCTGGGCCACAATGCCACAGCTATCACCTTTGACGAGTTCACCATTGGTGCGTGTGGTGGTGGTGGGGGCGGGGTACCCGCTGCAAACTCTGGCGGGAGTGTGTAAGGGGATGTGTGCCAGAGGTGCACATAAGCATTGGTGGGGATGTTCAAATGCATGCACTTGTATACATGGCACGCACATGCCCATGCACAGGTATATGTGGTGTGTATATACATGTGCACATATATGTGTGAAATATACCCACCTGTGAACATGTAAGTGAATGTCCTTTACCTGCAGGTCCAAAAGACCTCTCCAGCAGTCTTCCCATCTCCTCTCTGGCTCCCAGAGCATGCAGCAAGGGGAAGGTGGGGCAGGCTGGGCCAGACCCTTGTGCAGCTGCAGCCTCCACCCCCCTCAAGCCCCCAACGTTAATGGCTTCCTTACGGCTTGTGATGAATGAGGTGTCAGAACAGGAGACAGGACTGGGACAGATACCGCCCTCCCCCGACCCCCATCCCAGCCAGACCCTCTGCCTGCCCCTGCCCTGCTCCAGGCAGGCTCTCTGCCTGCTACCACCCCATCCCAGCCAGACCCCTCTGCCTGCCCCTGTCATCCTCCCAACATCCCATGGCTGGATCCCCAGCCAGAGTATTTCTACATGAGCTGGGCCCTTAGATGCTCCCATCAGAGCCCAAACTTACCCCCAACCCAGATCTGCAACACCTGTGGACTGCAACACTGTCTTTTAACCTCGACCCAGGTCTTAGTTTGGAACTGGAAAAGTTGAGGTGAAAAACCAACATTGGGGGGAGTGTGTGATGCTGGGGCAGGAGGGGGTGATCCAGGGGACGAAGGGGGTGACAGTGGTAAGCCTAATCAGTAGGCTCAGTTACTGGGATGCTGGTCAACGTGAGGAGGGTGTTGGGATGATGAGATGAAATTTGGGATGTTGATACCAAGAGCTGGTGACACTGACTATAGTGACAGTCATTGGTGATGATGGGGATGTCAGAGGTGGAAATAATGAGATGGTTGTCTATGGTAGTTGCCAGAATTGACAACAGAGAGGAGGATGGTGACCATGATGATGATGACAATGATTGGCAATATGAGAAGGTCAGCATGGTGGCTGGGGTTGTCCCCAGAGATCAGTGCAGTAATAAAGCTATGTCTCCTGAACAGTGAAGCCTGACCCTCCAGAAAATGTGGTAGCCCGGCCAGTGCCCAGCAATCCTCGCCGGCTGGAGGTGACATGGCAGACCCCCTCAACCTGGCCTGACCCTGAGTCATTTCCTCTCAAGTTCTTTCTGCGCTACCGACCCCTCATCCTGGACCAGTGGCAGCATGTGAGTGCCCCGCCCTGCCCTGCCCAGATCCCGGGTGCTTGAGTTGGACCACACAGCGTGAGAGGCACTCATGTCCCAGGTGGAAGCGGCTCCAGTGAGACCTGATGGCAGTCAGAGAGGCTTTCCCGGGGGAGAAGGGACCAGGTAGGCCTGGGAGAATGGATGGAGCCAAGGGGGTGTCCCTAGGGGTTCCCAGCGGCCCCCATTAGTGCAGTGGGAACAGTCTGTCTGTGGCTCCCCAGGGTAGTGGAGAGAAATGTTGGAAGGAAGATGGTAGGGCGGGCAGCGTTCCCTTTCCTTACCTCTGGCCTTCGGCCCTGACCAGGCATCTCCCTCCTCACACTCTGGTCCAGGCTCAGCCCATGCTGGACGCAGGGGCAGGAAAGTCCCAGTTCTTAAGGACTTACACGGATGGGCTCAAGCGGGTCAAGCCTGGTCCACGGTGTCAATTTAGGCCACGACTAGCGTCAGGGCTCTAAAGTCAGACCTAGCTTAGAGATCAGCTTAAGGCTAGGGGTCAGAAGGTGGCCTGGGCTGGGAACCAAGCAGTGAACAAGGGTCAGTGTGGGGTCAGGCTGTGGTCTGGATGTTGATCAAGCTATGACAGAGAGCTCTAGGGAGCAGCCAATGGTTTGGGGCAGACTTGGGGTTTCCTCACGTTGCTAGCCCTGGGCCCATGGGGTTGGGAGCACTCTGTGTGGCCCAGGAGGTCTGTGGTGTAGGACTGTGGCTGAGAGGGTGCTCCCTGGGGCAACCCAGGCTGTTCCCAGGGGTCAACTTGGACCCCCACAGCATCCACCAGGCTCCAGCTCCATCTCCTCATGCCCACCTCCCGCCTGGCCTTTAAAGTGCGTAATTTGATTCCTGGGTGCCTGTCCAGGTTGCGGGCCTGGCCCCCACAAAGGCTGCTCACACGCTCACATGTTCCCTGACAGAGTCCGGAGTCCCTCCTGCCTGGCCAGCTGCCCGCGCCTAATGCATTGCTAATAACCAGGGTCTAGTTTCACAAGCCCCCCTCCCCCGCTAACGAGCTACAGGCAGCAGCCCCGCGCGTCGCGCCGCACACGCCTTGCAGTGGACCTGGCACACTGCCCACCACACACACGGGACCATGCACACACACACGTGGCTCCCAGCAGGAACCGTGCTCCATATATGCGTGTGACTAACATGCTAAGACATGCCCTGGCCTGCACCATGGGCAGAACTGACCCCCACACTGGCACGGGCAGAGCAAAGTGTGTAGGCTCTGCGGCAGAAACTTGCACGGCCTGTGGCACATCCTAGCCATGTTCCGTGTGTCATTGGCATTGGGGTTGCCTAGATTTATGGCTCTTTTCAACTTGAGTTTTGCTCTGAACAGAGTCTATTCTCCCCTATCCTTGATCTTGGCAGGTGTACGACTGGGCGGGGTGTGGAGGGGAGAGCAGAGAAAAACATCAATTGGATTTTCAGGAGGAAAATACAAATCAAGAATTGCAAGAGAATGGGCACCAGGAGGGCTAGCAGGGGCCATCTCAGCGTGGCAAGGGGGAAGCAAGTACTGGGACCCAGCACGGGTTCCCTACAGCCCCTGCTCTGGCCCTAATTCACAGGGAGGCCCGGAGGGTGTCTCACATCTGCCACAGCAAAGTGCATGCCGGCACCTAGGGAGTTCCTACCAGTCGAGGAGCCCTTCTCTTAAGGGGGTGGATTAAGGGAATAGTGATAGCCCAGCAAGAAGAAGGGTCCAGGCCTAGGACACGCGGCCACCAGGACAGCATTGAGCTCCTGGGTCACATTCCTAGAGGTATGGTGCCTACCATGAGCCCACCAAAGTGGTGGAATTTGATCTGTTCCCCAGGCTCTCTCTCTTTGGGGAAAGACAGACCTGGAGGTCTACTGAATGGAATTGTGGCAGGAGGGAAGAGGAGCTGAAGGAGCTAGAGCTACTCAGTCAGAGGGGATCTTTGCAGAGCAGAAGGGAACTAGGGGGCCAGAGGTAGAATTAGGGCCCCAGCTTCAGGAAAGGAGGATCTGGGCCCCTGATATTCCAGGGCTGGAGGTAGGAGTTACTGACCCCAGGGTCTGGCCCCAAAATATCTCTCACCATGACCCTGACCTTTACCAGCGCCTCCCACATCAGGGCCACAGACTCAGCAGGAACTGGAGGGCTCCCTGCTGCGATTGGACCTACTGCACACACACACACACACACACACACACGTACTTGCAGCCTACTTGCAGCCTGTCAGGTCAAGTAGCCCAGACCCCAGTTTTCTTGGGGGAAGACTGGAACAGGGACCAAAAAAGCCCTGAAGCCAGACGTAGCCCAGAGCGGCCCCCTCCTCCGCCCTTGCCGGCTGCCCCTGTTTACGAGGCGGCTTAATGAGGCGGCGGGTGCCGCTGAGATGAACCAGAGCCCAGCCTGGGCCTGGGAGGGGCGCCGGACAGGCAGGCCAGCCTGGAGGGTGGGGGAGACCAGCAGGATGAGGCCAGCCAGGGCGGGGGTGGGGTGGCAATACCTCCAGGAGGAAATGGGGCCACTGTCCTGCCCCCTGCCACCCAGGGGCGGTCCTCCACCCCTTTCCGCCTCAGGCAGGGCGATAACCACACCGAGGCCTTCCAGCCTGGCTGGTGGGTGCACTGGGCATCTGGGAACCCAGGCTCTGAGCTGGAACCCATGATCATGACAATGCTGGCTGAAGTGTCTGGTGCTTTCCACATGCCCTAGTCCTCATAACCCTAAGAGACAGATACTATTGTTAACACCATTTTACAAATGAGGATGGCAAGGCACGTGGAAGTTAGGTAACTTTGTCACCTAGCTAGTAAGGGATGTAGCCGAATTTTCAACTCAGGCAGCCTAGCTCTCTAAAGTGCTTCTTTGTTTTTGTTTTGTTTTTTTTTTTTAGAGACAGTGTCACTTTGTTGCCTGAGCAGGACAGGTAGTGGCATGATCATAGCTCACAGCAACTTCAAACTCCAGGGCTCAAGTGATCCCCCTGCCTCAGCCTCCTGAGTAGCAGGGACTATGGGCATGCACCACAATGCCTGGCTAATTTTTCTATTTTTTGTAGAGATGGGGTCTTGCTATGTTGCTGAGGCTGGTCTCGAACTCCTAACCTCAAGTGATCCTCCTGCCTCAACCTCCCAAAGTGCTAGAATCACAGGTGTGAGCCACTGTGCCCGGCCTCTCAGCTGCTTCTTGATGGGAGAGAAGGGCAGTGTACCACCATCCACCCTCACCCCATTACTCTCATCACCTCCAAACTGGGACTGAGGTCAAGTCAGGCTTGGGCTTGTGAGAAAACTGGGGTGATAGCAGAGTCGTAGACACTAAGCAAAGTCATCCTTATTCTCTCCTGGGGGTGTTTCTAGCCTCCTTAAAGATTTCATTACTTTTCTTCAGAGCTAACTGCCTTCCCTTGAGGTCTCCTCCCTAAGACGTCTTTACTCTCTGCAGGAACATTCTCAATGTCCTCTCTCCCCAGGGAAGTCCTCATTTACTCCAGGGGTGTCCTCACTCTCCTTTCCCCAGAGGTGTTCTCACTTCCTCTGGCGAGCTGCCTCACTCTCCTGTCTCCTGGGGGGTGTCCTTACCCGCCATCCCACGGTCTGGCTGCAGGTAGAGCTGTCAGATGGCACAGCACACACCATCACAGATGCCTACGCCGGGAAGGAGTACATCATCCAGGTGGCAGCCAAGGACAATGAGATTGGGACATGGAGTGACTGGAGTGTGGCTGCCCACGCCACGCCCTGGACTGAGGAACCACGACACCTTACCACTGAGGCCCAGGCTACGGGTGAGCCCGCTCCCCCACCCCTGGATCCTTTGCTCTCAGTGGCCTGCCCTGTTGCCTGGCTCCACCCTGCTTCCTCCTGCTCCTGTCAGGACTAGAGGCTCTGCTACCAGCACTCTCTGTGGCTGCCACATGTCCAACTCTTGCTGTGCCTCGTCCTTGCTATCTGGATATCCTTGGCGGGGGTCATTGGGTGGAAGGTCATCTATGAGCCTTGGGAAGCAGGGTCTGCCTGAAGGAGGAGGCAGGGCACATATGGGAGAGGAGATAGGCTGTCTGATGGGGAAGCCATCTGATGCAGGAAGTAGGAAATGTGTGCCTCGTGAACACCCAGATCTGTGTGGGCCCCCAGTCCTGGCCCTGCCCTGAGTTTCTCCCATGTTCCCCAGAGACCACGACCAGCACCACCAGCTCACTGGCACCCCCGCCCACCACGAAGATCTGTGACCCTGGTGAGCTGGGCAGCGGTGGAGGACCCTCGGCACCCTTCTTGATCAGTGTCCCTGTCACTCTGGCCCTGGCTGCCGCTGCCGCCACTGCCAGCAGTCTCCTGATCTGGTAGGCCAAGTGAGGCTGGGTAGCAGAGGGGAGCCTGAGGGGATGCCCATTCCAGCCTCGCCCCTCACAGTCCCTTTCCTGTCTCCCCAGAGCCCGGCATCCGTGAGGACACGCAGAGCACCTGCAGAGGAGCAGGAGGCCGGAGCTGAGCCTGCAGAGCCCGGTTTCTATTTTGCACACGGCAGGAGGACCTTTTGCATTCTCTTCAGACACAATTTGTAGAGACCCCGGCAGGCCCGGGCCTGCCGTCCCTTAGCCCCGCCACACCAACCCGGCCCTCCTTCCTCCTTCAGGTGAGGAGGACCATGCAGCTAACCCACCCACCAAAGACCCCCCACCCTGCACCCTCGGGCTGGACCCTCCAATGCCAGCGACTCCCAGGAGCCCTTGGGGGGCCTGAGGGGAGCCTCTCACATTCACAGTTTCTCCTCCTGCCCCAGCCTCTTGTCTGTCCTAGGGTCTCTGTTGCCACCATCAGATTATAAGCTCCTGATGCTGGGGGGGCCCAGCCATCCCCCTCCCCCCAGCACCCACACTTTTCAGTCCCCCACTTCTGCCCCTGTTTTGTACGGCCCTCCCCTGGCCCTGCTCCTACCCCACAGTATTTAATGCCCTGTCAGTCCCTTCTAGTCTGACTCAATGGTAACTTGCTGTATTTGAATTTTTTATAGATGTATATACAGGGTCGGGGGTGGGGGGTTCTCATTAAATGTCACCATTTCATGAGTCCTTGGAACAGACCCACTTTGGGAAGATACCCTCTTCCAAGGAGCCCCCCCCCTCCCAGGCCTGGAGGAGCAAGGAAATTACGGTTGGGGAGGATGGGGAGACAGTTCACTTTCCGGCAGATATATCTGACAACGGCGCTTTCTACTTCTCGGGGAGCGGGGCTTCCCTGGAGCACAGGATCGCAGGCAGGGCAAAGTTATGGGAAATGAAAGGTACAAGGGGGGGGGGGTTGGTTCCACATGGGGGCATCCAGCAAGACCCCGAGGCTACTGAAGTCCTAGCCAGGTCAGAGGCCTTTCAAGGGTCATCTCCAGAGCTGCCTTCCATGAATGGCCAGGCGTGAGCTCCACTCACAGGGCCAGAGATGGAAGAAGGTGAGAAGGCCAGCCTTCATCCTTGCTCTGTGTGTGTGTGTGTGTGTGTGTGTGTGTGTGTGTGTGTGTGTGAGAGAGAGAGAGAGAGAGAGAGAGAGAGATCTCGGCCCTCTGCCATCTAGGACACATAGTCCAGGGGTGCTAGAAGGTTAGGCATAGGGCTCAGCCAGGCCACAGAGGCTCAGAGCACAGAGTGTCCTGGGCCTGGGCAGGCAGGGAGGCTGCCTGGAGGAGGCTGCTTGGCTTGTGACTGGGGATGGACCAGTGTTTCAGGACTAGAATTACAGAGTACGGGTTTACCCTCAGGATTGGGTTACAGTCAGGACTGGATATGGAGGTGGAGAGGGTGAGGCTTTGGATTTGCAGGGTGGCCAGTCTTTGGTTCAGCTCCATATCCTACCCACACCCTTCCAGTCCCCGAAATTGGGGATCCAGGGTCCCTCTGCCTTCTCCTCAGAGGAGGGGCCCCCTGGCTGCCCCCGGCCTGCTCAAGTCTAGGCCCCCTTGTAGAAGCCACCTCCCTGAAGCTCCTTAGCTGAGAAAGCCTGGGTCTGGGGACAAATAGGCAGACCCTCTGACCTGGGGGTGTAAAGGTAGGTGAGAGCCCCAACCTGGGGAGCCAAGTTTGGCCTTGCTCCAGAGAGAGGTAGAGTCAGAGCTGTGGACACAGTGTGTACACAGACATGTCCACCTGACACATATTCCCCATAGCTGGTGCTGGCACCGCACCTCCACTCACCCACTGATCCCCTGATGTCATCACACACATGCTCCTAATTCAAGCCCTCCTCACACCAGGCTTAGGGATGGGCACTCCTCTCTGGTCTCACCAGGCCTACATGGGATCGGGCCTGGGCACTGATTGATAGGTCAGGCCTGGACACAGACCCTGAGCTGGGCCTGCATGAGGGGCTCCAGAGTGAGGGTGGCTTGCTCCGTTCCAGGCCAGAGGAGAGAGAGGTGTTCTGGATGGGAGACCGTGGAAAGCAAAGGCCTGGTGTCAAGGTGGTAGCCCCAGCTGTGGGAGCGCATGGCTCTCCATTCACAGGATGAGGCTCCCAGGATGGACGTCCTGAGAAGGGGCTGTGGACCTGCTCTGTACTCTGAACCCCCAGTTCTTCCTATCTGTTTGGTCCCTGCGAGGTACGGCTCAGGCCTGAACATACACCCCAGGTCCAGCAGGGGTAGAGATATCAGGGGGTTACCAACTCTCTTGCCAAGGAATTGTATTCCTGGGATCCATCAGAACCTCTACCCTTCTCCATCCTTGGGGTAGGTAGGCTGAAGTGAGGGGGTCTCTGGTCTGTGCTGCCTTCCTGCCTTGAGAGCCCTGGTCAGCCCTGACCCACCCACCGCCCACCCAGGGCTCGGGCATCAGCAATCTGGCCTCCATTAGCAACATGGGAAAGCAATTATGTGGGGCCTGGGGAGGAGGGGGCAGAAGGAGGGGAGGGGGCCTGCTGGAGCCTCGGAGGCTGATGGAGGGGAGGACTGGGGCATCTCTCTCCCTGCCCTCCACCCCAGGAGAGACCCAGCCCTGTCCAAAGCCCAGGTAGCTGGGGGGCCAGTGTCATGTCTCTGATGGGCTTGGGCCTGGGGGTGGTTATCCCTCCTTTGTGGGTCCTGGCCCCTCGACCTCACAGAGGCTGCTCACCTTGGAAGGCCATGGCTGCTGTCTGCTGCGGCCCCTCTCAAGTACTGTCCCTTCACATGCATTTCCCATGGTGGCTCTGGGGAGGCGGAGCTAAGTGCAAACATCATTTCTTGGAGCTAAAGCAGAACTGGAGAATTAAAACACTACCGAGCGGGAGGAGGCTTGGATCCCAGACTCAAGGTGCACAGTGGCCTTCCAGCCCACTAGTTCTCTTTACCCCCTGTGGTGCCCTAGGGGTGGGGACTCCCCTCCGTGTCCTGGCTTCTCAGCCCCTGCCCACCTGGTCTCTCCTCCCCGGGGGGGCTCTGCCCCATTTTTACAACTCTGGACTTGTTTCTACTTCACCCTCCTCTACACCTCTCTTCTTGCTGAACCCATTCCCATCTCTATATTTGTCTCTTTCTGCACCATTCCTGTCTCTGAATGTGTCTTCGTCCTGGTTCCTGTTTCGGTACTTCTTTCTGTAGGTCTCTGTCCCATCGCTGTCTCTCTGGATGTCTCCATTTTTGTCTCTTCTCTTTTTCCCTCTTTGTCTCTATCCATCTCTCTCTCCATCTCTAGCCCTTCCTTTGCATCTCTGTTCCTCTCCCCTGTCTCTGTCAACCCTCTTCTCTGCTGTTCTCCCTTTCTCTGTCTCTGTCTCTGTGTCTCTATCCCCATCTCTGTGTCTCTGTGTTTCTCTCCGCATCTCTGTATCTCTGCATGTATCTCCATCCCCATCCTTTTGTATTTCTCTGTGTATATCTCCATCCCTGTCCCTGTCTCTGTCTGTCCTTCTTCCCTGACTCTGTCAGTCCTTCTCTTTCTGTGCCTCCCTCTGGGTTCCCGCCCCAGTCTAGACCCCAGCCTGTGGCCGCTGCTCCTCTCCAGCCTGAGCCAGGGGCTGTCCTGGCTTCTGCTGCCCCCTCTCGGCCACTCGCCTGCCCTTCATTCCTGCTCCCAGGCTGGCAGCTCTGAGCACATCAATCCCACGTCTGGTCTGCATCCCAGCAGCCAGCCGGGAGAGATGGAGATACTAGGCAGGGATCCCTCCTGGGCAGCCTCCAGGCCTGAGAACTCCCCAGAGCCTGTGAGCTCACAATCTGTGAAGGCTGGAACTCCGAGAAAGTTCATCCTCACGTGGAGAGAACAGAACGCTTGGCTCCAAATCCCCGCTCTGAAGCCGGCACCTGTGTGTCTCTGCCCTGAGGCCCTCCATGCTCACAGCCCACGGCCACGGGCCGTGGCCCTCAGAAGGCGGCACCTGTCTGGACATGCAGACTAAAGTCCTGGGGGCAGGAAGCATTGGGGTGTAGTCCCTCCCACCCTTTCCTCTTCTCAGAGGAGGGGGAGGGGAAGGAGGTCTAGGAGGGGAGTCAGAGGGAGCTAGTCTGAGGAGAGAAACTGGAGGGGACCTTACCAGACAGTGCCACTCTGATGGGGAGGCTACTCTGACGGTGAGAGGGTCTGTGTGACAGGACTGGCCTGAGGGGAGGCTGCTCTGGCATATGCTTCTGAAGAGACTTTGTTTGAAAAGGCAGCCTAGGAGATAGGCTGATCCAGAGAGTGTCTGAAGGGGCCTGGTCTGATGGATCCAGTCTGAGAAGAGACTAATCTGAAGGCCCACGGGTTTGAAGAATTGAATCACCAACTAGTTCTAGTTTGCCTGGGACTTGACTATCTCAAGTCTTAGGAAACCCCTCAGTCCAAGGCAAACTGGGACAGTTGGTCACCCTATTTGAGAAGGCCTTGCCCGATAGCACCACTCTGAGCAGGGAGGCTGGCCTGGAGGATATCTGAGGGAGTCTGGTCTCACAGGTCCAGTTTGAGGGGAGAGGCTGTTCTAAGGCAGAAGCTTCTTTGGGCAGGGACCAGGCCAAGAAGGAGGTAGATAGGATCCTTCCAGGACAGTGGCTTGGGGAGTAGCCACCAGGGGGCAGGACAGATTCTCAGGAGATTCAGATGCACAGCCCTAGCGAGGAAGCCAGATAGGCTGGGGCTGTATATAAAGCGTGCCCACCACAGCATGGGTCACGATGCCATCATCACATGCAAGTTGAAGCGATGTTGTGCAACTGTGCACCATGTTTGTTTTTGTGTGGCTAGGTGACCAGGGGAACATCTACAGCACATTCACATGTGGCATGTGATGGAGAGTGTGCCTGGTGTGGCCATGGCTGAGGGAAGACAGCAGGGACAACTTGGGGTTCACCAGGACAGGGAGGCAGTGGGAGGGTAGCTATCAGAGAAGGATCCCTGGGAAGGGCTGAGCACAAAGAGGAGAGAGAAGGAACCAGCCTTTCCTACTGTACCTGCTCCTGCCCACCATGGTATTCCCTGAGGTTCCAGACACAGGAGCTAAGTGCTTTAGTCACACCCAAGGGCAGCCCCCATGCCAGCCTACACTCCTGGGCCCTGCCTGCCCACCTCTCCAGTCTCTCTCTTGCTTCTTCAGCTGGCACTCCTCCAGGGGACCCCCTTTGTTCCCCAGTAATTGTTTTATACTTTCCTACTTCCATGCTTTGGTTCATGCTGTGCTTCTGCCCAGATGCCCTCCCATGAAGCACCTGAGGTCCCTGTGATGCTGCCTCCATGACATGCTCCCTGCTTATTCCCTCTCTGCCATGGGCTGAACACCCACTCTGTGCTCAGGCCTAGTTCTGTGGGACCTTGTCTCATCCCAGGGACGTGGAAATGTTGGGGACTGGGCCTGCCCCAAAGAGGGGGTCTGAGGGAAAAGGTATGGACAGGTAAGGGTGGGGATCTCTGAGTTAAGATGACAAAGTGAGGCCAGGCGCGGTAGCTCACGCCTGTAATCCTAGCACTCTGGGAGGCTGAGGCGGGCAGATTGCTCAAGGTCAGGAGTTCGAAACCAGCCTGAGCAAGAGCGAGACCCCGTCTCTACTATAAATAGAAAGAAATTAATTGGCCAACTAATATATAGAGGAAAAAATTAGCTGGGCATGGTGGTGCATGCCTGTAGTCCCAGCT